GCTGAAAAATAAACCAACCTTTCTGAAAAAAGTGGTTTCTATACTGCCGGTACATTCCATCAAAGTAAGCAATTTATATAGTAAACATTCAACAGTTATAAACCAGAGGAGAGAAACTTACTGCACAAAATCTGGCATGACGGGGTTTGAAGTGTCAGCATTGATCCATCAGAACGAGGTATATTGACCCGAAACACCAAACGAGCTCGTGTGCTCTTCTTCTTGGAGCCAGCAACACCAATACGAGCCTCAACATCAGCGTTACGGAGCTTAAGTATCCCAACACAGTCCACCCTGAAATGAAAGAAATTAGCTTTGTTTGCTAAAAACACAACTAAATATTGAGACTAGTAAGACCTACAGTATATCTGTTGCACAATCACAAACACAAACATTCAAAACACCAAGAACCCACTCTACTGTAATGGAAAAAATACATACGCTAATGTCATTTTGGTGCTTGGATCAAGGGGGACCTCAATCACTGTTGTGCCATCAATATCCACTTCCTTGCAGGCTGTGGTGTTGCGACCGGTCACTCTACACGCCTGGTAAAATCTATGAGGCCTTACCCGTCCATTATCATTACCCACAAACACTTGTAAAACCACAGGCTCAGTCACTCCCTCCAGCTGTGGGAGAAAATACAAGGAAATTAATTCTTCTTACCATTAAACAGGACATATCCAGTTATTGAATTCTCACCTCTCGTACCATACATCAAATGTGAGGCACCTGTGATTTTGACTACACAAGGAGGCTTAAAGGGGTCAACTTTTACCTTTACAGTAGGAAAACCCTGCTGGCTGCGGTCCTTCACTGATCCCCTGCTACCTTCAGTCAGATAGCGAGCCCGGTGTTGAGTTTCAGGCTGAACAAGAATCTTCAGCTCCTTCCCTTCACTCTTGTGTGGGAACTGCATCGACAGAGTTCCTCTCTTTTGATTTGCTGATTGATGAACATCAGAACTGACACACACACACAAATGACAAAAATATTAACTCGTTAAAATATAAATATAATGCAGTACACAGATCCAGATGCTGAGAATCAGCACATTTCTGCTGGCATCAATCGTATGCGTTTATACCTGAGTATTGCTTTCAGGGCAGGAAACTCTCTCAACTGCAAAAGAGAAAACCCTTCAAAGTTGCCATGGTGCACTAAGCAACACAAAGCTAAGATGCCTCACATTAACCAGGCATATTCCACATTTAGCTCTTAAAGCGATCAGAGGTATCTGTTTATTTAATCTGCTTTGCTTATCCTCGGGCCCTCAAAGGGGTTCTATGATTCACTGTGACCATTGTTTGTACTTGAGTATCCTGCCACTCCCTCCCTTATGAGAAAAAATGCTCTTCTTCATTCATTGTGTGGTAGGAATTTTGAAGAATGTACAAGGCTAACTTAAAAATGTTTATACACGTGGTATTTTTCCTAATGACACTTATTCTGAAACCCAGTACAATTAAAATAATTTAAGAATTTATATCAAGCTCTAAAGTTTGTAACATGCAACAGTTTTCATTACCAACCTTCCTTTTGAGCCTGTCTTGTTGTCTGGGCCTAACTGGGAGAGGACAAAGTGTGGGCCTTTGGCACTGTCTGCATCAAACACATCCAAGCTGGCTTCTACTGCAGGCACAGCTTTTGGACCAGGCCTCTGTCGTGGAGTACGTTTACGAGACTTCCGTGGTACCTCTGTGTTGTCATTGTACGAGACTGTGCTCATCATACTGAAGTTGGAGAGGGAGTCATCCATCCAGATGCTGCTACTCTGCTCTGAATCCCGAGATGCTTCATCCTGGCAGGACATGAGGCTGTCATCAAACAAGTCTTGTGGCGGTGGAGAGATGTTCAACACGGTATGGCGCTTAGAGGAGGCCATCTGGTGATGTGTTTGGCTATCTATGGATGTCACGCCTCTTCCAGTCCCGAGTTCACTGCTCCCCCTGCAGGAATTGCCACTGCTGCAATTGCCATTTCCACTTTCCGCTCCTACCACCTCTGGAACCAATCTGCAGCTCCTATTGTCTTCTAGGTCGTCATTGATGCTGTGAACCAGGTTCTGGTCACTTGCTGCAGATGTGGAATGCATGATGGAGCTGGAAGGGGTTGAAAAGGCACTATGGGGGCCTTCCGTGGTCAGAGAAAAGGACATGGCATCTACAGTGCAAATAATAAAATGGTGAATAAAGGCATCTCAGACCTGTGTTGGCTAGCAGTCCCATTTAAAGAGTAGAGTAAAATTAATGCAGTTTTTTCTTTCAAACATCTGTCTTTTATTGCGTGTCTGTTTAGGCCTTTTTAACAGAGAGAGAACTTTGAATTGGGTAGTAGTTAATGTTAATACCAGGTGAGGTGAAAAAAATCATTTAAAAAATCTTTGGTATAATTACAACCAATCAGTGGATTAATCTTATACACATCAATCTTTTTTCCATGCTCAAATTAATGTTAAAACAGATTTTTTGCAGATGAATATTTAAGCCAATTGGTAGGTCACAACCTTTGTATTATGACAAAAGGTCTTTTTAATGGGACTGAACGTAGCCACAGAGACAAATAAAACAAGCTTCTGACCTATGAAGCAGAGACCTGCCGACCATTTTATATGCAGACACTCCCTGCTTCAGAGGAAATTTCCTGGAATATAAAAATGAGACAGGGAATGAGCAATAAGAGCTGAACAGTAGTTTTTGTAGGAAAAAGAGGTGCTGCTCCTGTAGGCTAGTCTATACTGCAGTTATTGTTACATCAATTGGATGAGGAAATTAATCTAATTTCTAGAAATTAATCTAATTTCAATTACAATTTCAATTTTGACTCCAATACATCATAAAACTGAAAAAAAAAACCTAAATCATTTGCAAATATGCACTTCAACCCTTTCTGGAGGAGGTCTGTGTGAATATGATGACACAAGGAGTATAGGAGCAGCAGGAGGAGATAGAAGATGAAGAGGACCAGGAGTTTTTAGTCGGTAATTACATTAACCAAGTTTACTATTGTAAGGTCCGCACCGTGCCACAACACGTACAGTATAATAATCTCTTCAACCAACTTCAGCTCAAACACAGAGTGACTTACAACCAACAAAACCACATCACTCTGCATCACCATCATCAAGAAATGACCTGTTTTATAGTACAACAGCTGTACTACCAGATAACTGGTACTCTACTACCTTTTACATGTTTTATTCTTATTTCCATTATATATATATTGATTGTGTTTCTATTGTAATGTATATTATATACATAGGAAGTATTTAATTGTATTTAATATCTTTTTTGTTATTAAGAGATTCTATAAGTGCAATACGTTGCTGATTTAATTTAATTTAATTTAATAAATGCGTGCTTACTTTTTTGCAATATTTGAGTATTATACTTCCAGTTATTTAAGGTCATACACAGAGGAAATGTCACATTTGCTGTTCAATATGTTTGTATGTATGTTTTTTCACAGCCAATAAGCAATGGCTTTAAATAATCCAGATGATTTTCTTCGTAACCCAGCAGTCCTATCTTATACTGTATTTTAATAGTAGATGGTTTAATTACTCGTATGAACGTTCTGGAATAATTTCTGAATTACAATTTGCCACCCTACTCTGTTGAACAGTGAAGAAAACATAAGAGTGTGTGGAGTCAAACTCTTCACAATATCATTGAATACAATGATAAATACTGATGCTGATACTGTCATTCCTATGAGGTTGTGTTCATCTCTGTGATACATGAACGTAACTTTGTTTGCATTAGCCCTTTACGTATTCACTGACAGATTAACTGAGAACACTGGGCTAAAGCTATGAACTGAACCTTACAGTACTTTGGTAGTCATATCATTGACCTATGGTTAGCACACATCGTTATCCAACCTGTTCCTTCCTGTAAACTGGGACTATATGCTATATAAGGACCAGGACTGTAAATGATTTATTGGCTTATTGGTCTTTTAGAATAGATAGAGATAGATAGATCAGGCACTGAGCCAAATAAGAATTGATGCATCCCTACATTTTATTTACTGCAATTTCGAATGGGACAAAATCAAATGTTTTATTAAAATGAGGTTACACTAAATGTACCACACTAAAAAAAATTACTTAAGTGTTTACAGACTGTTGATAATTTTAGAGTATAAACAATACACAATGCAGATTTTGTATCAAATGGTCCGATTTCACAGGAAAGAGAAACTGCACCTAATAAGAGATATTATATTTTATTATTAAGGAGTGGACAACACATTTGATTGACAGCTTGACAGTCAAATAAATGTTTCAATTTTGTTGACATCCAAGGTTATTGACTGCATTTTTGAAAAGATTTTATATTGGCATACTTTTCAATAGACAGAGATCAGAAGTGATAATTAAAATTTGGGATCTACTGTATGTTTTAATTGAACAAGATCTTATGGCTGTTATTTTTACCAGTCGTGTAACAACAACCTCCGACTTTATATCTGAATTGAGAAACAGTCAAGGTGGTACTGCTGTGTGAAGTTTTTATTTAATAAATAAATATGACATAGTAACCAGGCCTGTAGGACAAACGAAACAAAATGTGGTACTTACGTACTCATACAGCAAATTAAGTTTACATTGCAAAAACACAGTTGCATTTATACTTCAGCTGTTAAATCAATGTCCCACAGGTATGCATGTGTCGTGTGTTGACTGCTAGATTGTCAAACAAATAATAAATCACGGCAATCCATGTGGTCTGAGTAACACATGAACATAAGAAATCAACAGTCGGGGTGTTTGACTGGATTTCATAACAATTTAGTGTTAGTATTCCTACAGAATGTTTGTTCGGGGACATAATTACAAATCTGGCTGAAAACAAGAAATTAAAAGAGCCGGATCCTACCTGATGCTAAAGAAGCTGAAGGAGGAGTCACCGCCTCTCCACCACTTGTTTGACTCATGATTTTTGTTTTCTGCAATGTTGATGAAGGCAACTGCAGTGCTTTGGGAAGAAGGTCCGACCTTGACTCTAATGAGAAAAAGATAACAAGACAAAGGAGTTGAAATGAGGGGTTATACACATTCAGTCATTTAATTGGAACACAGAACATCTGTAATTTGGTCCACCCACTGACATGACGCAGGAGCATGACTAATAAAACAGTCTTTCCTGTTATAATTATTAAGAAGGTGCCACAAGTTCCGTATCACCCATTGTTGCACAACAACCTTACGCAAGTCTGGGAACATACAGCTGAAGCCTCCAAAAAATAAAAGACTGAACACTCTTCCCACACCGGAGATATTTTTACTACAACATGACAATAATGGTCTAAAAGTCACAATGTATGTTCAAAACTATATTAACACTAAACCCTTGTAATGACTGCAGGTAGGCAGAAATGATTTCCCCCTTGTGAAAATTAAGACAACTTCACATGAACAGCTACATGTATTATGGGTGTGTATTTCAATATATATATATTCAATATTGGTGGAAGCACTGACTGAACAAATTGACATTATTTCCAAAGAGTACAAAAAAGTTGGGTTTTTTTAGCTATCAGAAATGACTATCTTTATTACACCATTGAAGAAAACCATTTTATCAAACAATAACTTTCAAAAGTCTAACGAATCCAAAAGAAAATCTTGTGCAAAACGAACAGGCGGCCATGTCATACAGAGCCTCTTTCTCTAGCTTCTATGTTCCTCCCTCAGGGCAAACAGGACGCCATGAGGGTAAAAAGGCTTCAGTGTCAACAGCATGACAGCACTTTTACTAGCAGTGTGATTCATCATGCAAATATTATGGTTTGAACCTAGAGCGGCCATTACAGTGGCCTGGCTCTCTCTTTCCTCTACCATCTGCCAGCTTTAATTAGTTACAGCTGAGTCAAAGGGTTTGGTATATAATATATCAAATACTTATCGGTGCCATTGTTATCACATACTGGGTACAAGTGTTCAATATAGGACATGCTGAAGCCAGCTAATAATTCTGAATACATTTTATTCACCTTTCATTCATTGTAGAGTCAGTAAACCAAATACCTACACTGGATTGTAATGTGGTTTTGCTGGTTGTCCAAACAAATTCGCAAACACGCACACGCATGTAAACGCCACCCTAACCACCTCCACAAAAACACTTTCCCTAATAGAGCATTTTCTCAACTCTACAGTCTTCTTGGGGCTCACTGTGTGACTGCACATGCAGCAACATGTGCTCCGAGCAAGCAGCCCTTCCAGTAAACAGATTGCCAACCGCACACACAGAAAATATGTGCTCTTCTCTCAGAGCAGTGGTCTAGAATCACTGGCTGGCCTGTTAAAAGTGTTTCCACACTCCCTTGACTTTTTTTTTAAAGCCCAAAAAAGAAAAAAAACAAACAACAAAAACATATTTGTCTGCACGTTTGTAACAAGTCAGGTCAAAGCAGTTCAACATTGTGTGTACGGTAAAAAAGGTAAATTAAAAAAGACCCAAGCACCAGCAGGGCAATTAACAGTCAAGACAAAAACCTTGTGCTGTTATGATGTCAACGTGAAAGGACAAACATGTTGCTGTGAAGGCAACTGAAGAATCTTACATTTTCAGTCATAAAAACAGACATCATGCGCATGTGGTGGGTGTGATCAGGTCCTGCTATTGATGTGTAATGAGTATGCTAATGAAAGTGAAAGGCAGGCAACCCCTTCGGCTCCACAACACAACTTTTATTTTCAGCCAAGCTCAATTGTAACAATCATATAAATAATACAACTGAAAATATGTACAATTAAAATTCAATCGCACATATTCTGCAATGTGTAAAACACTCCAGCGAAACACAATGTTCCTCTTTAGCATGACACCACATTGTGAGATGTTATAGTAAACAGAGAAAACTAAAGTGTAAGAAAAGAAAGCACTCACCATGTGAATGTCAGACCTTAAAACTCCCATTCATTACACTCACATTCCTGTTGCTTGCTTTTACTAGTCATGGCACCTGGGGCGTGGCGCAGTTTTTTTGGCCGAGTGAATGATTTCACTCTCCATTCTGTCCCCCTCCTCCACTCCACCTACCTTGCTTATTCTCCCAGTTTTGTTTACAGTGCTTTCAGAGCTTTTTCTGCACTGAAACCTGTCCAACAAGTTAAAGGAATTTTTATATGGAATTCTGTCAAGCAGAAGTGAAGCAACAGAAAAACTCACCTATGTTGAAAAATTCAGTCTGCAGTGATACATGAGGTGGAACCAGACAGAAGTGAGTAAGTCTGCAATGTTGGTGTCTTGACAAAAAAGAGCCACCACTGAAGGACCTGACACCTGCAGCAAAGCATGTGCAACAACGCTGAAATGTTTACAGCCAAGCCTACACAAAGAATGCCAGAGGCTCCATAGTAACACAGAGCCGGGGACACGTCTTTGAAGCATTTGCATCCTTTCTGAGGCAATATGCAGAAAATAGGAAAATAAAACAGCATTAGCTTTAGTCAAATGAAGATCCTAATGTTGCAGGACATAACCCTTCCAACACTGTGGCGATAATCACTTAATGCAATCAAAAAAAAAAAAAACTTCTCTTAAAACCGTCATTTACTGCTTCACTTCTACAAATATTTATTCTAAGAGATCAATGGAATGGTTTTCAACAGTTGAAACATTATATCTAACTATCTAACTCCACTTAATGAATCAAAAAATGATCCAACATTTAGTTTTCAGTGTTTTCTGACAAACAGAATTCCAAGAAAATAATGTTCTGATTTTATGATTGCCGCCATTGGTGGATGTGTACACGGTGGGAGTGGGAGAAGCCATGATGTTTGTAGATCAGTAGCATTTTTTTAATAACCGAAGTCAGAGATGCTTTTTTTAAAAAAAAAAAACAAAGGGGAGAAAGTTGTTACGGGGTTCCTCGCCTTACGTCACAGTTTTGTTCTTATGGTACGGCGTAACTTGATTTTCGCTGTTAGTCAGAACTCACATACTGTATAAGTACTTATGTCACTCACAGTGGTGACATCATAATCGATTACATAAAAACATCTGAAGCAAAAAGTTCTGAAAAAAAAAACACGAAAGAAAGCCAATGTAGCACAATCCAATGTATGTCGTACAGCTAATGAATGTAAACAAAGCTGTCTTCTGCATATAACGTCGGAATGATTAAACAAAATTTTCTTAAGAAATTTATGGGAGGTGCCAATGTTACCACAAAACGCCATAGGTCAAGGGGAACCCATACATATCGGACAGACAGTAGAAAAGACAAGAGAGTATTTTGATATTCACCTATTTACCAAACATCTTATGTTTGAAAATGTCTGTAGTACAAACCAATATGTTTATACTACAGACATTTTCATAGTGTTGGAATCTTATTTTTAACTTAACCTTTATTTACAACAATGACTGTCATTAATGCTGATAACTTAATACACAGTGACGCAAATATGTTGAAAGATGAGCTCTACCCTAGAGTAGCAGGAAGTAGTGGCATGTATTCAATCAAATATTGCATTTGGGATTACTTCATTAAAGAGAAAGTATTTATCCAAGATTCTTAATAGAAGTTTATTGTGGAACAGGGCTACATGTCAGCAATACAATTCATCTTAACAATGATAGATTAATTAAAGACTAAAGAATAATTAGTTCATTATAATGAAATTATTATAGCTATAATGAAAAACATTTTGCCAACGACATGCTAAACAATTCCTACCAAATCAGACGTTTTTCATGTGACTTTTTGAGTCCAGCTAATCCTAACTGACCAGGAATGTCCTCTAGGCTCTAGATTTACATGACTTTCATTCAACAAATGTCCACCATGATCCTGACCTGACAAAACAATCCACTGAAGACTAAACATACAACTACAAGGAGGGAGAAGTGGGTCATTCCTTTTTACAAACATCCTCACTGCAGTTAGTGGCAATGTTAGTCTCAGTAGATTGTGTTTATTTTTAAATTAAAACTTGAGTTTATTTCTGGTATTAAAAGTCTGATAGATAAACTTATAACACATTAGACCTATTGGGAGACAAAAAGTCGTGGTTGACAAAACATTTGGTGTGCCAACATTGGCACTTCTCTCCTGTTCACAGGAAAACTTTGCTGAGGCAACAGGAAAGGCCTTTAGCAACACTGCACGTTAATGCTCACCAGCAAGGAGAAATCACAAAATAAAGTACTAAGCTTAAAAAAAGTGTGTAAGCGGAGCAGAGTTTTATTTTGTTTTATATAAAAGATAAATATATATATTAGGGCAGATTTTGTCCTCGAACAACAATACAGTTTGGTATTTTACAAAAACAATTGGTAATATTAAAAATGTTTCCAAACGACTAACAACCAACTAAGTTTGAAAACACCTTCCACAATGGACTTCAAAATTGTTATAAACATTAGCAATCTCCTCGACAACTCAAGTGAAGTCAGAATTGCGTAATGCTAAATGCTAAAGATAACTAAATCACATTTTTTCCCAGATACAATAATCAATATCTATGTTGTAATTTCTGTGTAGTCTCCTTACACATTCTCAGGTTTTACTCATTAGGACTTGCAGTTTAAGGATCAGTTTAAGGATTATGAATGACAATTTGTGCCTAAGGCTCCATCCACACCTTCAGCTAACGCTGACTTCAAAGGATCTACAGCTATCGAAACGAACCTACAGCAGACAGAAAACGAAGAAAATGTGAAATTAATCACAGTATGATATCTAAGAAACGAAAAAAACATGTTGGTAGGGTCACTTCTTATTAACATTATATCTGTCTTGTTATTTTTATCATTAAACAGTGTATATACAAAAAAGTAAATGTATCAAAAACAATTAACTTAGAAAGGCATTGAGTCATCAGTGTTCACCCAAGCATGTTGTGGCCTGCTCAGAAGTTGAGACATTGACATGAGCACTGTCATTGACGTTTGACGTACGTCTTGACAGCCAATTAAAAAACCTCCCTCTTTGCTAATCTCAGGCTTAAAGGTTTTTACAAAGTTGAATGAAGTAGAGAGTCGTGACAAAACACTGATGAAATTATCCACAGCTGTTGTCACAGACACAGTGATGAATGATTCTAGTATCCAAGTTACAATCCAAAACTATACTAAAATTAGGGACAACATAAAGGACTATTACAGCCAAAGGGAAAATGATTTGCACTGAAATGTGGCTGAAGTTACTCAGCTGAGAAAAGGTTCACCTTGAACACAGGCAAAACATTGCTATTTGTTGGTATGTAGCTAAAGTGACCTTTAGAGAAACAAATTAAACAATGTTTCAACTTTAACTTCTTGGTCGATAGTTACCAAGTTAAAAAACCTCAAAACCAACTGTGTTCAGCATAGATGTAATTACTGGTTCATTTATGTACAAACCCATTACAAGCAGTTAAAATTAAGAGAAAAATAACAGGTAATTTGAAACATTTTGTGATGATGTCTGATATATACTGTATATACGTGTGTGTGTATATGCATGTATGTATATTTTTTTTCTATATATTATACCATCACCATTATGACTGTTTAAAACACATGGCACCTGTTCAAAGTCATGGAGAGTTTTGTCCAACATAGACTACATTATACTGTTACTAGAAATGATTTTATATTGCTTATTAGAAATGCTACGCATAAAGATCTGTTTTTTATGAAATACTATAGTGAAAGTTTAAAGTTGTAGGATGTAAAAGCAATCTCGGAGAGACAATGTATGACTGTGCTCGTATGTCAGCAGTCTAGACCTTGAAAAATATCTCAATATTTATGAAAACACCAAGATTTATACTTCAAATGGGGGCACAGGAGAGATTTGTACAAGTTCTTCCAGAGAACAATTCTAAATCTACCTACGTTGCCAAGTTTGTGTCTAAACCTATCACTAAATAAAGACAAAAATAAACACAATGACAGGATGCATTCCAGTGATGCCAGTCTTCCAAGGAAGCATAAAATGACTCAAACAAAAAGCACATATTTCACAGGATATAGACAATAGACAATTGCACAGACAGCTTTACAACAGCATGCCAAATGTACAGCAAGATGCGTGCCTATGGTTAAACCCACTTCTCTGCAAGGTCACTTGTTAGTTGATCAGCAGATAACACAGGATTGCTCAGGTAAACCTCATGTCAACAAAACCCATTACAGTTGTTAAATGTTTATTCAAAACCAAATCAACAAAGTTAATATTGCCACAAATCTGTGTAGGTTCTCAGGTCATCCAGGTCATCTTATTCTCGATGACCTTGATGTAACTATTTTTGAATACTGACACCAGAATTTGAACCTAAAAAGACCAAGAAATAAAATCAACAATGTAATGGCACAGTTTCAGCAATAAAAAAATATGACTTGCTTCATGTAGAACTTTTACCTTAACGAATCTTTCTAGAAAAAAAAAATATTAAGAAAAGAAAAAGTAAACCATGGGTCAACAAACAACACAGTTGTGAACTAACAATGCCTCACAATTCGGGTGTAGTATATGCACAACTAGCATGCATGCTAAATATTATATGTCTAAATCACATAGTTCTGCAGAGAAAACAGAAGGCTGGTTGCAAGATCTCACAGGTGCTTTGAACTTTTCACAGATCAGTGTGAGAAACTAAATGCATAAAGTCCTTCTGCCCTCTTGATCTCTCAGAGGAGAGCGTTATGGCTTCCCTCATTATGCAGAACTTCTTATAGGGATTGTTTAGTTAAAGTTTAAACAGTTGTTTTCAGAATAATGTGTCATGGAATTAAAGATTCAAAGAAATATGAAAATCACTTTAAATAATAAATGCTTAATGTGGTGCTGACTTTCTGGGTTCTTGTTGGTACTGTAATAAAAATCTCAATACCACTGTCCTAGTAACCACACTGTAAAAGGACAAATAAATGTGTGCAAAAGTGTACTTAAAGGAATGTAATTAAAAGAAAGAGAGAAAAAACAAACCCAGTATCTATCATAGTCATAATTGCCACAAAAAAAAAAAAAAAAAAAAATCAAACCAAAAATTGCAATTGGTACATGTCTAGGCTAGAGGTCTGTGCATTTTTGTTTAAAATATTTCTTTTTAAAAAACCCAGCATGAACAAGAGAAACAAAAACAACAAACAAAAAACAAAGAAAGACAAGCAACAAGAGAGAGACACAGAGTTTTTAACAGGTTTAACCACTTGTATGTTGATTTGTTGTGGTCAAAACAGTCACAAGTGTGCAGTAAATACCAGAGGGATCACATGGTCACTCACCCTGATCAATGAGTTAACCTGCATTTGATATGCAAAAATGAGTTCAAATTGGATAAGGAATACAGGCCACACCAGTTTCATGATTATGAGTAATTTGAATTGTAATTCTCTAACTCATTTGTGAAATTGAATTGAATTTAGATGACTTTAACTTGAAGATTACATAAACAAAGACAGGCAGTAGTAATTTTTTTTTTTACTGGTGCAAGGTTAACAGTGACTTATAATGCACATACAAGGAGGGAGTTGCTTTGACCTACATTTACTTTCAGGTAGTAGCGTCTCAGAAACATTATCTCTAACACTTTGACCTATTTTCATGTGATATCATATTGGTATTTTACACCGGGGATCAAAATGAACATACATTATGCAACTTATTATACTTTTTCATCCATTGCATTTACAAAAGTTATGAGCATTATGACATCTTATATACAAAAAAGCCAGTAGTGGATCATGTCAGAGGACAATTCAATTTATTTCACAGATTTGTATACTCTTTATATGACAAGAAAAAAGTCTCTTTTCTCTCCATTGTTTTAAAAAAACAAATAAATTATTTATCCTTTGGTTTCCGTAAGATAACATTGATTTACTAAGTCATTAGAGGTTGGAATTTATTGCCTCGTTGGTTTATAGATATCAAATAAATGTGTTCTCAGTGTTCTATTAAGTGAAGGTTTATTGATGTTGGTTAAGTAACAGAAATACATCTCTGCAATATCTTTTATTTGGAAATTGCATTATCATCAGTAGTTTAATTACACAGGTAATCCCTATTTTGTGCGTCTAAGGCTATGTTCTATACACGCAGCTGCCAAAGAGTTAATGATCAGCTATGTTTTGGTTGGTGTCAATAAATCATTTGAAGAATGTGGTTTCACAGTTGTTAACCTTCGTTGATAAACTTATGGAACGGCAATAACGTTTTACCTTTGATGTGAACCTGATGGCAAGTGGTCATTGTCAACTAAGTTAACTACAAATGAAAGCATGAGTGGAGTTTCCGATATTGAGTTGCATGGATAGTTATGTCAGTTCTGTTTCTTCATAAAAGAAACAAATGTGTTTTTCTAATTATATCTGAGCTTCACACTGAAGCCTAACTAACAACAGCATCCCAACGTAGGAACAAAAATGATTGTCTTTTCCAAAGTGGCACATTCAGAACCTAAAAAATGAGTTTTTATTAGGATGTGGGTTTTGATTTTTTAAAGTCAGTAGGAGTGTGGTGGGCTGACACACAGACACCTAAACTACCCTGACACAGAAACATAATAGCATAACCTGTAAGCAAACAATGGAGATTTAACATCACATTAGCATTATTGCTACAAATCACCAAGGAATTAGGCTCAATCATTAATAATCCATCTCTCACAGGCTTAGGGGTCTAGACTTTCTGTGGTTCAGAGGAGCCTGTCGATATTAGTTCAACTTTGCTAAGGCTGCATTTATTGCACATAATAAAAATCAAATTTGTTATACTGTATAATATACTTTATCACATAATAATTTATTTTCTATATACCTTCCTGTGGAACCTTGTGGAACCAAGTAATGTAGTACATTACTAGTAGTAAACAAGTAATGTAATGGACTTTCAGTCTCTTGAAAGCAAACAAATTATTTAATTAAATTAGGGGCAATGTATGTATATAAAAATCAGACCAAAATATGTTTGCTCTCATTTTAGTGCATTGTTACGATATACTAAATACCCAATGCCTGTATTCAACATTCTGACAAATGATATCAAACAAACTCAAACTCAGTAACTCCATCTAAGATCCTGGAGCAAACAGTAAACATACACAGTGAATGATGGCAGGACAGATTTAGTACTATGTATTACGTATGTTATTGATGCCTATGATGTTGGTTAGTTGGTAAAAGGGATTTGTTGTTACATGTGCATGGTAAACCTACTATACGTTAATGCTGACTAATCCCTGCTGCTCCTCTCCTCATATCTCCTCCTGCTGCTCCTCTCCATTTAATATTTCCTACTGCTATCCTTCTCCTCCGGCCTATCCTGCCATCTTACTCGTGATGGCTTTTTGACAAACCTACATCAGTGAGCATAAATCATTCTGGACAAAAGAGACTGTTGGATGTCCAAATCGCAATCGACATTCTATTAATTGTACATCACTAGACAAATGTTGTTTTTTTACTTTAAAATGCTAATGATGAAATACAACACAATATTTCATTAATATGAAATGGCAAAAATATGATTTTTTTGGAGTTAAAAAAGGCACTCAGATTTGTTTGTTCTAGTTGTATATAGTGTATGTCCTCCTAAGAAAGGTGTTACAGCTGTAGCCTCAGCTTTATCATTTTTTGTTATTATTTTAGCAGACACGCAATTGTTGCATTTCGCAAAAATACCTTTACTTGTTCAACTATGATCCAGTGGCATAAAAGATAAATGTTCTGAGTCCCATTGTACAGCCATCTGTAAAGATGTTTTTGTTTGTACTAACGAACGTGAGTGTTTGACCCTGTCTCTAACATTATCCAAACTATTTTTATTTGACCATAACCAAGACTCACCCTTAAATGCCCCTTTAAGTCAAACTCCAACTGCCAAAAATCCACTGACTGTCACGTACTAGTGCAAATAACTACATTTTGGACACCTTAACTAACACCGTTACATATCCAACCTAAGCATTAGAAGGAAAGTTTGGTCTCCAGAAAAGAGGATAAAAACGAGTACACACAAGGTAATAAACACCACAGAAAGAGAGAGAGAGAAAGAGAGAGAGAGAGTAAGGAAGAGAGCGAGAGCGCAACAGGCAGGTGGGCGTTAAATTTGAAACACCCATAAATGCAAAGCAAAAGCAAAAAACAAACTGTATTTGCTATTATGATCTTCTTACCTTTAAAATTAAATGCTGCGGAAGCTGTTAGGTCGTTGTCCTCGCTGAAGAGGGCGATAAAGTCAGAGGGCATCGCAGTCCCTCACACTTACGGCAGAGAGTGAACACAACGCGACGTCACACCGAAACACGTAAATAAATGTGTTTGAAGGAACTGTCAGGTAAAAAACACACCGCGCTGCTCTTACCGGTCTGACGGTGTCTTTGACGCTGTTAAGACTGAGTGGGTCCGCACCACACACACGCATACAAACAAACTCATACACACACTCTCTCCCCCCTCAGCCCCGCCCCCTCTGGTTCCTCCCACTGCGCGTGTTTGAAACGTTTACATAGTCACGGATGAGCCACTCCCACTCACGATGACGAAATTATACGAAATCCATTTGTTTAAAACAATTATCAATTATTGTATTATTATTAGGCTACAATTATTATTAATAATTACTATACTACCAAGTCAACGACCTTGGAGAGAATTATGTTCATTTTTAAATGTTGAAAGTTTTTGTCAAACTATGTATAATTTGAACAGTTCTATTCATAGAAACTCGTTTGTTTCAGAGTTTTTTTGCAGCATAAGCAACTCATTATAAAGTTTTGTTCTCCATTCATTTTATTACCATTTTACATTTGTAGCAGCAGCAGAAGCAGAGAGAAATGCCAATAATTTAAGAACAACATGGGCAACTACATCTTGGCTTGCTTATATAGAGAGAGCCATTAGAATAACAAGGAAGCAATAAAGCACAAAGCTCTATAGTCATCTATTTGACTGTTGTACAACACTTTAGCCATCGTGAATATCCTCAGGAGAACCTCTCAGTGTTGCAGACCTTGATGAAACAAGAGGCTGTTTGGCTGGAGGTTCATCACCTTGTTGCTTAAACTTGAGACCAAACAAACTGCACAATTTCATCAGCATCAGGTCCACGATCTCTTCCTCCTCCGATGGCTGTGAATGAAACACTGATCAGTATTTAAACTCAGAAATGTCCTCCTCTGTGCCAAAGACCACACATAAGAAATGCAAACGTCAAAGTAGCTTCGCTGGTGTTAGAAGTAACTCTAAAGGAGTCTACACTCTAATGGGAGTAAATAATTAGAGTTTAAATTTAAGTCACTACTTTTAGCTGTTCCTATTTTAAGTTACAACACTATGAATTTAAAAATATACAATAGATTAGTACTTGTGAAGGTGTATATGAGCAGCAACTTTAAATAACAACAGGACAGAGGAGGCATAATTACAGCAAGTAATATATATTTAAAAAAACAATCAGTGCATCTTTTTACAGTACACGTCTAAATACGACTTTGTTTTAAGAATAAAAGCCTGTAATTATTTCGTATAAATATTTAACAACATTTCGACCCATTGTGAAAAATCACCTTGTGATGATTCTGTTCTTCACTGAACGCCACCAAAATGACGGAGATGAAGAGGTTCAGAACCACAAAAGTCATAAAAACAATGCAGGAGCCAATCAGGAAGGCACCAAGTACCGGGTTATAATTCAGGACCTATGGAGCCAAAAGTTGGACATTAATGTTTGCGCTGATGTTTTGGCTGCTTAACTGATATAAAAGTTCTATACTTACCTCTTCATAATTAAAAATGCCGAGCTGCAAGCTGACCATTGTCTGAGCAGCATCCAACAGAGTTCGATAGGAGTACAACTTCCAACCGTACAGCAGGTTAGACTGAAAAAGAATGTTTATCTACGCGTTAGCCTAAGGAAATCAAATATTATTCTATCACACAGCTCTGTATCTCCACCTGCAGCATGTTAAAACTTATTGTGGGAAACTTCTCACCGCAATGGAGTAGGCCAGAAACATGATGGTCATGACCACCAGGAAGCCTGAAATATCAGACCAGGCTCGCTGCAGTGTGGATGTAATCATATGAAGCTTGGGGTTCAGTCTCAGTAGGTGCCAGAGTTTGACTGTAGCCAACAACACTAAGAAAGCAATCAGATATCCTAACACTGCATCAGCCTGGGCCGTCTGATGGAAACTGGCGTATCTGTGAACAGAGAGAGTCATGTTTATAAATAGTGAACATTATTGTCAATTAATATTTATTTATAATATTTATTATTTTCTATTCTCAATTCACCATAACATGCCATAATCTGCTTCCCAACACTAAACACATTCCAATTGTAATATAATCCAACATTTACTGCCAAATATTGCAAAAACCTACCACTATGACTTCCCTCAGACCCGCCCACCCCCCAACGTTTTACAGAGGCCCAACAGAAAGGAGATATTAAAATAGCAACTATCTATGTAAATATAGACCTAATATAAGCATTAATATATATATATATATATATATATATAAAACAATATTGCTTATCTGCAAAGTGTTGAAATATTTTCATTATAAACTCCTTGTAAATGTTTTTGCTTACTGGTCTCTGTTGTTCTGGTAATAGGACATGTCACGGTTCCCAAGCAAAGTCCTTTTGATGAAGACAGATAGTGCACTCCAGCTGAGAATTATGATACCAAGCTCCAGCAGGTTCCACTTACTCCTTAAATAAGCCCATCTCTGCTGCTTTATCAGCTTCCCCTGTTGGAACATGAAATATTCTGTCCATAATAAAAACACTCTACCACAGATTCCTACTACTTCTAGTTCAAAACCTCATGTTTACAAACACAGACCTGAACAAACATGTAATAGATGATAAAGAGGAAGTAGATTGCCTCAGAGGCCATGACAAAGATGTGGAGGCCGCCGGTGGACTGGTAAAGACGGACACTTTGATGCTCACTGCGGAACTGAAAAGCTCCTAAAACAAATTGCAGATGAAAAAAGTGCAGATGACACAATGTCCTGTTTGGACACACTGTGGCCTACCATAAATCACTCACCTATAGCTGTGGTTTCCAGCATAAGTGTAACAATGCAGAAAAGGTTGACGTTGGCATTATACACGGTGAACTCAACAAAGATGGCCTGGGTATAAGCATCAAACCAGGCATTGTCATAAAGGTACTGAAGAGATCTGTATAAACAGAAAAACAGGAAGTCAGGAAATGGCTTCGTTTAACTGACAAGCATTTTGATTTTGTAACGCAACAAGATTGATGAACCTGAAAAGCAACATTATGTCTTTGTCAGGTGTATCCACTAACTCTCATCTCTCCTTGGCACAGGTCCAAGCCATCATAACTTTAAAATTGTATTTTAATACTAAGCTGCTGTTATACCTTAATGACAAAGACTCCCTCCCTTCTTTTGCTTTTCTGAGCACGGCATGTTACTTTTGATAGGCCAACACCAGTAATTCTAACATCAACATACACCACAGATGATCAATGCATTTGCATAATAATGAAAAATTTGAAATCAAATTATGCAAAGGTAAGACAAAGAAACTGATTAAAATCTAAATTGAAAATGTTTTTTTTTTCACAGCGGATGTTTTTTTGTGACTGTTTTTTAGTGGCTTCAAAAAGTGAATAAACTGAATAAACATTTCTAGCAAAGTAGAAGCCCACTGGGGCTAAAAGTTCATTTCCACTGGTTGCTATCACAAGTATCCAGCCAATGAAGACGAACCACCATGGCAGTCCCTCTGGACAATTTTTTTTTTTTACATTGAATAAACATTTCTAGCAAAGTAGAAGCCCACTGGGGCTAAAAGCTAATTTCAATGATAGATGAGTATACAAACGTAATACACTTCTTCTTGCTATATAAAATATGCCTACCTGCTGGAATTTGGCAAGTCAGGTCCCAGATCCACCACATACCCTCCTCCTCTGTAGAGAACCACACTACCCCAGACAGGGTAGGACCTCAGTTTACCCTGGGACTGGTACATCCATGCGTTTTCTAGCAGGTTCAGTGAGGTGTTACCTCCCACAGAGCTGCTCCATCCTGGACCATAGGTGCCCATGTCCTCCAACTCCCATGAGTATGGAGCATGACATTCATGAATTGACTGCTGCATGGAGTGGGAAACAGAGCAGGAGTTTTTCATCACTCTCACTTGGCGTAGACGAGCATTGCCCACCAGCTTTGAATTTCCATCTGTGATGAAACCTATCAAATGAATGAGGAATCAACATAAATAAAACAGTTAGTCCTATAAGTCACAACCATGTCTGTATTTAGTAAGTTGTTGTATGCCGTTTTTATTAAATCAACCACACACTGACCTGGGCGTTGTCCAAACAGGCTGCTGAGCAGAGTTGTATTTGCCCAGTGGAACACATCATGAATGCTCATACTGTCTGAAATCCCTTTGCTGAAGCTCTGACGGATGTGATGACTCAGAAAGTAAGCATTGGGATCCCTCTGACCATATGCTACCAGGAGCAACATCCACATGAACCCCATGTATGCTGCACAAATAACAATAACAAATATCACACATCTGCATCTCGAAATTGTCAAATTTACTGTGATACGTAATAAAGTATTTCTCCCACCAATAATTTCTCCCATTAGTGCAAAGACTTTTCGCTCTTTAATCATGTTGTTCCTGATCCTCTCGATGTCAGTGGGAGGGGGCGGCTGGTAGAAACTGCATGTACTGTCTCTTCTCGCTGCCCTGACTGCATCAGGATCATCTGGAGGAGGATTTCACTTGTTTACTTGCTTATGCTGGTTGTTGTTTTAGCACACAATAACCAGAAATAGTCCATGTAAACAATTACCAGAATTTCTGAAAGTCTCATCTATCTGTGGTTCTCCAAACTCCTCTTCATCAACTTTCTTTAGAACCAGAGCAAAGAAAGCTGCAAATCCAAGGACCTGTGACAGAAAAGTGTCAAATCGGTATCAAACAATTCCACAAAACAGAACAAATACAAACAACAGAAATACAGAACTATCAAGTACTACAGTATGTTCTCATCCACAGCAAGAACCAGCAACGACTAACCTTCAGAGGTTGTGTAATAAAGAGACTCTCAAAGAAAGACACCACCATAGAGATGAGCCAGCTGATAGAGCGCTCCTTTCCATACGTCAACCCATACATCATGGTAAAGTATCCTGACACACTGCTGGTTGCTATTACAAGTGTCCAGCCAATGAAGACGAACCACCATGGCAGTCCCGCCAGACAACATTTTTTGCCGGAGTTCCCGCTGCTTACGCTCTCCTCTGGACTTGGGCTGTGGTCCAGAAGCTCACTGTTCAGGCTGGATGAGGGCAGATGAAAGTCCAGTAGACCCTTCATTCCTTGGACCTGCTGCATGGCCTGGTTGTAACTGTCTGAGTCTGGGAAACGAGAGGGTCCCAATAGACCAAGCTCCTTCTCAACATGGCGCAGCTGCCTGTAGAGGTAACGACTGTTGTTGTTCTTCTTCTGGACCTCATCTGAAGTCTTCTCTGGACTTCCACACATACTGTTTTCTGTTCAATAAACACCACGTCTGCCCAGTTAGTTTGTAAGATGATTCACTGCAAGTTGTACTGTTGTTATAATTACTGTTACTGCGCCAATAATTCTAAATAAGTAGTCTTAGGAAAAATGATAACAAACAATTGTACCTTGTAAACTGACTGAACCTAGACTGAGGATTGAAGAGTGATCTCTTTTTGAGGCCTCAGAGTAGAAGTCCCCACTGATTTGATTCTGCTGTCTGATGATATCCTCAACCAAAGAGAGCAGAGCGTTAATGTCCGTCTGCTGACCAGGATGGAGCTCCTGATGAGGCAGTGGGCTTTTCATGGCCTTCGAGAGAGACTGAGCAATTTTCTTTATGTCCTAATGGTGAAAAAAATCCTTCAAGTATGGAGAAGTAGAAAAGAAATAACTTTGTTGTTCTGTGTGAGTTTATATTTTTGTTATTACCTTGATCACAGTGTCTGCTGTAATGTCCTTCAGCTCCTTCTGAGGAGAAGAGGTCTGTGAGGGAGACACTCGACCAGTCTTACACTGCTTGGATGTTTCTCCTTTGCTGCTTTTCTCTCGAGGCCGAGTGTTTCTGAAGATGCTCACAATGAACAGATTGATGGGAAACATGATGATAGAACTTTGAATTCCAATCATCACCTGTTGCCAGGTAAACTCTATGTGGCCTGTAAAGCAATTTAATTAAAAATGAATTCCTTGATAGGATTTTAATGGTAAAATTTTCCTCAAACTGGTTGTTAACCAAAATATATAATTAATATGTAAGGATATGTATTGTGTCATACCCAGGTCCATGGTCTGCTCAGAGGGATCTGTTGGAATGCCCCAGAACATAATGCTGGTCAACATGGTGCAAAGGAGAAGAGAAAAGCAGCAGGACACACGTTGTACACGTGTGAAAGTGCTGCATGGAGGTCGACTTACGACAGAAAACCAGATATGACCATCACTGAAGTCTTTGGCTGTTTTCATGAAAAACAAGTTGCTACAGAAGTGAGAAAGTGGGACAAGGAGGGATGAATTAGATGTAATAGTAAAGTGAAAATCATACAGAAATCTATAGTGGTTATGCATCTGCAGTTGCTCAACGGCAAGTCTCACCTGAACTTTTTCAAATCTATTTCTGTGGCTACGGGGAAAACCTTGTCGAGCGAGCACTCTCCTACATCTACAGCCAGCCAGGAGTTACACAGGAAGTGCCATTTCTGACCCGTCTCCAGATCCTGCACAATCACTTTGTTGACATACCTGCATATTCAGTCAATAATTACCATCAGCAGTAAACACATAAAAATTCTAGAGCACCAGGGTGGAACTTTGGGGATTTAACAGAGTGGGTTCAGTGAGGGGTGGCAGCAAATCTACCTCTGACACTATTTGTATAAACACATTTACAGTCATTACACAATGTTGATGTTGTGTTGATACAAATCAGTCCTTCATTTATTAATTATTTCCTGTTATCACATTTAAAGCTTCCATCCTCTCACCATGCTGGTCGTCCCCCTGAGTTGTCATGCCACAGCCTGATGCTTTGTAGATCACCAAGAGAAAAGTGTGTGGTCATGAGGAACATGTCTACACCACCCCTTTCGAACACAGGCTTCTCAGGGTCCGTCAGGTGATGGGGGTCACTTTCTCCCTCTGTGCCCAGGAGAGTTATTGTCACCTGACACAAAAAAAGGTCAGTCACACAGAGTCACACATTCTCTGTGTTTCATAGGCTACCCACTGACCTGAGATGAGGTGTTGGCACCGTGTCTGTGACCTGTACTGACACTCAGCATGTAACAATACTCAGCCAATGGATCATTGTCCTCTAGTACCGTTATCTTGACCTTAAAGTGAATATTAAAACAAAGGTTTGACAGATGAAAAACTTGATGATTATTGATTCAGTTGTTAACCTTTATGTTGAATACATTAAGTCTACAGTGAACGTCTAATAACATTCAGAATGTGACACTGACCTTGGTCGAGTCCTGGATGTCTTTCCTGCGTGCCCACACAATCACCAGGAGATAAACAAAAAATATAGCCCCAACAAAACACACCACCACAGGGTTGTTGGTGAAAGTGGCAAAAAGTTCGGCTGTTCGAGAAACATCCACCAGATTTGGCATGACAAAGAAGGAGCTGCCAAAGAAGGTGAGGTGATTGCAGAGGCACTGGGTGACCAAAGACGTGGTGAGTGGACCAACCTGTGGTCAATAATATAAAAAAGTAAAAAGTAAGTTTAACTTTTACATAAAAAAGTAAAAAGTAAGTTTAACTTACTTTAACTTACTAGTAAGTTTAACTGTCAACATTATTGACTGGTTTTACTCCTTTACTCACCCTGCAGCCATCTTCACTCCAGCCAGACTGGGTTTCATTCCAGTATTTGCACTGGGCTGCAATGGTCGTCACAGCAACCGTGGCATTGACGGATTTGATGCCTGGCTCTACAATAGGCTTGATAACAAGATAGTGAACTCCAACATCTCCTGTTCTGTTTTGAGGACTGAGCACCCAGGTGTATTTTTCCTCTTTAGACAAAGGTTATAATTCAATCAGTCATTAGGAGGTTTAAACTCCTTTAAACTTTAAGTATTTTTATGCTGTAATAAACATCTGATTACCTTCTTTTGAATTTTCCAACGGAATTTGAGTTTTGGCAACAAAATTCTCATCATTTGGATAATCATTATACCCCAGCAACAGGACAAAAGAAATGTTTTCAGAAGGCTCCACTTTCAGCACCAATGTTACATCTGGCGAAGGGATGTCAAGAATCACTGTACTGAAGTTGGCCAGGTCAACAGTGGTGATGTTCTCAGGGCCTGTGTCAAGTCTTGGAAGAAGAATCTGAAAATGCCAGAGAAATGTATCAATCAATATGACGGATGGTTAAAAAAAAACAACCTCAAACTCAACTCAACTTAACAATGTTCTACCTCAATCTCCTCAGGTAAGTTCTCCACAGGTATCACAGTGCCATCCATTCTGCTGAGAGACAAGGATCCTACAATTCCTGTGATATTTTCCTCTTTCCAGGAGTATGGATTTTTCTCAAAGCTCATCATCTTAAAGAATGAAGACAAACCCTTATTAAAAATGTCCATTTTTATCTTTTATCCCCAATTTTGTGTCGCAGCAAGAACAAGTGCAAATAGAAGTTGACATGAGTAAAAAAGTTATATACTCCTTATACAGGTCCACCAAGCAATTAGTGTAGATACTTTACATTATAATTTTGGCCAGGATTTAATTAACCTTTATACTGTTTTTTATTTGTATGTGTACACTATAAAGTCATGTTTATGTTTTTAAATATTAAACATTTTATTTTATTAATATTGTTTTTGTCATTGTGTAAGAATTACTTTTAATATAGAATTATATATATTATATATATAGATATTTTTTATATTCTTTTTCTTGGCTGCCTGGCTGATTATTTTATTTTATTTTGAAGATCATTTGTTTATTGTAAAATAAATACCATTGATTATTAATCCGTGTTGTAATAATGAATAATTAAAATGTTAAAATGTTAAAAAATTCACTATTTACTCAGTTAAACTCAAAAATCTTGTTTTCTCAGTTATTATGTAAACACAGTGATGATGAAATATTTTAACTGCAGTTTTTCTTACTCTGACGTCCACCGGCTCCTCAGGAGAAACAACATTGTGTGGCAGTTTTGGAAAGGAAAATCTGGATGAGCTTCTCTTCTGCGCATTAATATCTTGTGTTTGCATGGACTCTGGTGAAATTCTGCAGAAACAACAGTCAACTTCACTAATAAAAAAACAAAGCCTTCCCCAGTTAACTCTCCTTGTCCAGCATCTGGTATATCTTACCTGTTGACATAGACAGTGATCTGACCAGACTCTATGATGGCGGGGCCTTCATCCAGCTTTTTATTATTCAACAAAGCACTTTGAACATTGTTGATTCCAGTCAAAAGTAAGTCTGAAATCTTTTTCTGTTAAAAAGGCAAAAAAGAGTTGTCCTTTAATTGTGCAAACGTGAAAAAAAAGGATGATGATGAAGAGTGGATACCTACGTTTGATGAACTGTTTAAAATGTTACTGGCTGCTTCAACAATGGGTGCAGCAGCTTCAACAACTTCTGCTTCATCACTACTGTTGTGTTTAACACTGATGGTGTTAAGAAAGGAGCTGAGGTCAACCAGTAGTGAACCAGCTTCTTCCTAGATAAATGTAAACAAGAAAAAAATCAATCTAAGCTCCCTCGCAGGTTTAACATGGATCAGTGGTTCCCAAAGTAGGGTGTAGGGAGCTAATAGGAGGCAAAAAAAAGCAGATGTGGGGGAACACAGCATGGAAAACTCCAATAGCCCTGCCTACAAAATAGAGGTGTGCAGAAAAAGTTTAGGAACCACTGCTGCAGACAGAGAATGTATACTAATAAAATGTCTTTTCCCTTTTCTGCAATAAAAACAACAACACATAAATAGTGTACTTTAATGTGAGTGTTTGATAATGTCATTATAAAAGGCTGTGCTACTGCTGCAGGCTAAAATGTAAAGCACAAAGTATATCATAATATTATTGGTAGTAGCAGCAGCAGTGGTAGAAGTAGTAGTAGTGGTACAATAAGAAGTACTTTACATACAGTATCACAGGTGATGCCTTGTGAAGTGGTTGTAGCAATTGAAAACATTTTTTTAATTTTTAATGAAACAGTGTAAAGTATTTTTTTTCAAATGTTGAGATTAATGATGTACTATATTCACAGTAATTTAGAACGGATATAGTACACCTACTTGAGCAGCAGGGCTGAGCTCCTCTGTGCGTTGAGTGAGTCCAGCCACAGCTCTGGCTGTTACCTGTACTTCATGGGTTGTGTTACTTGGGGTGTCCATGAGCACCGTAGCCATTTTGGTCAACATTTGCTCCCTGAACTGAAATAGAACAGAGCTGTAGCTGTAGTTGTAGGTGAGTAGGGCATTTATTGTCAGTATTTACACCACACACAGGTTCAGTGTCCCCAGGAGCCTTGTTGTCAGAGGGTAGATGTCAAAACATGTAGCACTACATGCTTTGACATCTACCCTCTGCTTTGTGTGGTTATCAGGACTAGACAAGTCAAGGTTTTAGGGAGCACCAACATAATATCAACCTGATTTGAGCCATTTTAGCAGTTTTGTACTCTGTGTCACCTTGGTCCTCTCATCCTTCTGGTCCTGGTCAGCCTCTGTATTCAGCATGTAGGAAACTGAGGTAAATATTTGCCCCAGTGCCTCCCCCGACAGCAGACCTTGGTCCTCTAACTGAGCCACAGTGTCCTCCACAGCAGACTGAAGAGCCACCACTGAATCGCTGAGGTCACTTTTACGAACCTTTAGTCAGACAAATAAATAATCCCCAATCATTTCAAATGCATTCATGTTCACACACACACAAAAATCTACTTTGGACAAACCTGAGTTGTAACAGTTGTGGTGGAGGTTTGGTCCATTCCATTTTTTGCACTCACTATTACAGACAAAGTGTAATTGTTGTTCTCATCTCCCAGAGGCAGGAAGACGGATTTCATCTCATTTGCATTACTACAGCGTAGGTGTTGGCCTGAAAATCAAAAGTTAAACCGATCAAGTAAACCGAGTTATTGTTGATTATACTTCTTTTTCAAAAATAGGAAATGCTAAAATTGTTAAACCATGAAGAAAACTTGAAAAAATCTGAGTTCTGTTGACAACGTTTGAAGCAACATTTTTCATACAAAACAAGAATTAGTTGAATTAGTTGAAAACACTAAGATGAATTTACCTTTTGATCCATTTTTATTCAATTCCTTCTGTTGTCTATTTCTCCAAAATCTTTTTTTTTAATTGTCATTCTCACCTGCATTTGTTTTAAAGCAATAAACACAGCCTGTGGTGCAGAAGGAGTTTGGTTTGCAAGTAATGTCAAAAGCATCTAGGACAGTGCCAGAGGTGGGAGAAATGGTACACAACGGTGGGCTGGGGTCTGTTGGAGGATCAGTGCTGTGAGCTGCTGCTTCAGTCGGATCGACACCTGGTACTGGGAAAGTGTACTTGGCAAAGCCGAGTTCTTTCTTGCCTGTTTGACAAACGTGTGGTTTTAAATCAACCAATCAACGAGACTCTGCACAGGAAACTGTTTAACAACTTAACAAGTTTGAACATAATAATTGTACTATACTATACATTAACATTTACGACATAGTTGTTAGAACTTTTGTTCGTACCATAGGCCAGTACAGTGATGTTGTGCAGTTTGTTCCTGGAATCCTGAAAATGTTTTTTTTGTACAATGTATTCAGTGCTGCCATTCTGCGTGTCAGTAGGGGGCGCCCTTCCTGCTTTAGAGTAACATTTTTTGAGGTCGTCCTGGGGAAAGAAAACCTGTTAGTACTCTTTGTGTTATGTCTGATTTTGGAAAATGAATTCAGGAGAAAAAGGTTGATTCAGACTTGCCTTCATAGCCCCTGGGTCTTCGATGAACCAGACAACATCTGGACAAGTTGTTACACAGCTAAGCCTCAGCTTTATATCGTTGTCCGCATTAAGGTTAGTGCAATTGTCACAACTGAAAAAATTCAGAAAATAAATTTCAGAACAGATTCTTTGGCATGTCACTTACAGAAGATCTTTGACTCATGTTGCATGTCAACACAAATTATAACGTGCAACACTCTAATTAAATAAACTTCACCACCATAAAGATGCTTTACTTCTAAATGCCCTTGGTCACTTCTATATGTTGAATTGTTCCCATCAGTGACAAGACTGGTGCTGCATGGATTCAAGCAGAGAGCTGTGTGCTGGAGTGTATCCACTCAGGTTCATTCACTACGACAGTTGCTATGAATTTTGGCTCACGCCCCAGATCAGACACACGCTACACGGTAGCAGTGTACATGTTTGATTGATTGCTAGTTGACAAGAAATGATTTAATGTCGGGAGGGGCAGAAGACTTGTCATTGGGATTGAATGGAAATTTAGATAACGTAACTGACGTGTGATCTGTTGGAGACACCGGAACTAGACTGACTTGTTTAACAAAGACAATCTAATTTTTTCTAGTAAGCACAGCATGAAATGGTTGTTGGTTTGGCTCTGGCTCATATGATATTATCACTGCATTAGTAATGAAATATGTACACATTTAAACCAGGTGTATTTCCCTTGTTGTGTTTTTCTTCTCTTTTGTTATTTGAGGACTTTGCTTTGAATTTCAGAAAGAAAGTCTAAACAGTAAAATAGAGTAAAGCAATATAAAATATTATTAAGGGATAATAAGACAAAAAGTCATTATTATAAGATTATTACAAGATTATTGTAAGATAAGAACAAACCTTCATTGATGTTAAATTAGTTTGCTTTGTATAAAAAGCCTAGCAATTAGCAAACAGCCTACTTGTCATTTATTTTACCTGATATTGACGTCTGTGAATTCCTTTGGAGTCACAGTGATGCACTTTGAGTTCAAACTGAACACGGGCCACTCTATGAACCAGAGTTTTTTTCTAACTGTCAATGTGTACTTCTGAAATTCAAAGGGATCGGGCAGACAGTCTCTGTCGACCACAAGACTTGAATCCTGCGTTGTGTTTCTGCATCTGCAGTTTCCTTCTGTAAGGACAGAAACAGACAAAGCTTTAATAAAATGTCAACAACAAAAAAGTTGAACCCAGCATCCTTATGACACACACACATAAACACGTATATATGTCAGCTATAATAACCACCCTGCAGTTTCACTGAGAGCCCCTAGAGGTCGTCAACCTGCTTTTAGAGACCTCTGGTTTTGACCATGGAAGTGTTTCATATAATTCATGTTTAATTTTAGCTTCCCATCTATTTTTCTTCCCTAATATGTTTTCACTGAGTAAAAGTGTGTGTGAACATCAACATGATGACAAGCAACTGGGGCGGGCTGTTTCATCACAACATTATCTGTCATTGTCAATAAGTTTAGTCAATAAACCCCAGGTTTGTGATTGGCAGTGATCACAGGTTCTACTGGGGGGACAGAAAATACTTATATCATGATTGTAATTATACAAAATCACAGTGAAATAAAACTTAAATCTAGAATTGTTTGTGCTAAAACAAGACTTGTTAAATGGTTGGGAACATTGTCTCACCACTTACAGCTTCACTTACTGCTGTTTAGAGGAGGACACTAATTGCAGCTGCAGCAAAAATAAAACAGTGAAGTGCTGAAAGGAAAATCAGCTGATACAGAATTAACTGCAATTTCTGGGACGGGCTGCAATCAAGACACAACTGCAAACACCTGGTTGGGTATGGGGAGCCTAGATGACAATGTCTGACTTTCAGCACAATGGTTAATTCATTTACCCATTCACACCCATGTTTTATGTGTATGCTTATTGAATTTAATGCCATCATTTGACACATTTATGCTATAGCACCTGATGTCTCCAAAATATTGAAATTTCTGGGATGTAACAGTCACTGGTGGTGGACTTCACTGACACTATGAAAACACCAGGATGGCACAATGTATTTATATGTATGTTGCTCATGTAAATCTTACTGTAACTTCCTGCATTAATAGAATATATCAATAAAACAATCAATCATTGAATCCATCCATCTGTCTGTCTATCTGTCATCTGCAGTACTTTTATTTTGTACTCATCTGATACAGTTGTTCAAATTGTGGTTCTATTCTTGATCAACACATGTTAAATATATTATTATACACTTACCACATTGCCATTCAAATGCGAGCCCTGTGCGCAGTAACGAATCGATTCCTGCGACACTCAGTGTGATGTTGTGATTGTAGTCAATCAAAGTGTCAGGAAAGGCAATTATTTTCACATCAGTGGTAACATCTGTCTGTGGATAGAAGAAAAGTCAGTGCGCTGCTGACACATGCAGATAATGAATAACATTCATTAAGGCAACTATTCAACATACTTTGTTTTCTTGTCCATCTGGTAAAACGTCAGAGTGATTCCTACAAGCCTGGAGGATGTCCTCCAGGTCCACATCAACTTCTAATGACCAAATACCATTCATGGCTCGGACGTGGACTTTTAACAATCCTTTGGAGAACATTTAAAATTATAAGCACACTCATCATGTTTATTTTAATAGCAAGATATATTTGAATGAATTACAGGGGGGTTAAGCGTACCTTGGATAGGACTAGAGAATGTATACACTTCTGAGCTACCATTGAGCATCTCCCTTGTCTCAGATAGAGAGTCTGTAGCTCCAGTAAAGTTGAAGAAAAGTTGCACAGGTGACCCTTGATTTAATGATACCTCAATCATCAAATCAGCAGAGTCTGGACACACTCGGGCCTCTGACAGGACTGAGGCCAGGAGGCCTTTCACAGGCTCCAGCAGACACAGCTCCAGAGCAGCAGACACTGCGTGGGATGTGAGTCTGTTTGAAGCAGCTACAGTCAGATTGTGGCAGCCAGACCCAAGCCTCTCAACCACCGTTGAATCCAGTGTGATGTTGTGTGGTTGTATTCCAATGCTTATTGATGAGCTTGCAAGCAATTGGTCCCCATGATGAATGGTATAGGAAATATTTGTACCTATCAGTGACAGGAGAAGGTTAAATCAATCTGCATTTTTGAATTTTAATTCTATTTATTACAAGTATGTTCACTTACCTTTCTGTACCATCACCTCTATATGTACAGGTTGGCCAAACTGCGCATGGCATTTAGCGCCATCATTTGACCCATTAATGCTATAGCACCTGATGTCTCCAAAGTCTCTAACAGGCTCCTGAATAGTGATGGCTTTCTGGGCTGTAACATGCCAGTCACTGGTGGTGCACTCCACCGAAACTAGGAAAACACCAGGACGACTGAATTTGTGCATAATAGTACTCTCCATCCTGTGAGAAAGACAAAAAACAAAAAACACCACAGCAGCAGACAGGTTAGATAATATAGAGTCAGTATAGATCACGAGACTGGTAGAAACAGATGGAACATGAGCTTGACTAACTCTTCCAGGCTGTATGGATCAATAGTGTGGCCATCTCCAGAGTTCAATGTGCACGTCAGGTTTCCCTGAAATGGATGCAGGAGCCACTTCACAGTGATGGTAACGTTATCAAACACTGCTGCCAGTTTGCTCATCAATAAGTGGAGTCCTAAGTAAAACAAATCACAATGTGATAAATTAGGTTATCAGAGGGTGAAATACTTCAAATATAACATCTGTAATATATCTATCAACATCTAGGTCATTATAAAATGTTTAGTCTGGAAAGATATCAACAACAAAATAAATAAATCTGACCATGTTTGCAGTGGTACTCCACAGACAGGTAACTTCCTAGTACAGGACACGGTTCAACAGAAGAACTCAGATCCATTGAAGCCTGGCAGGCCTGCAGTCCATGGCACTGGGCTGGAATGTAGCAGAAAAAATGTCTGTGACAATGCAGAATTGAAGAGCCAGTGGATTTCAAATATAAATGACCAACAGGGTTGTGGTTTCATGCAACTTTTTGTGAGTAAAATTAAAAGCCTTTTTAAGAATGTATAAGATTATTTTATTTGTTGTGGCTAAGTCTAACCCGTTTCTCTTTATTATTATTTTCTAGCAATATGCTTTGATGCTAATTTTTAACTAATTTGACTGACTAAATTACAGATGTAGGGCAGAGCCAATGTAATTAGTCCACAGTGGTGAAGGTGAAATGTACTGTAGGTGGAGTAGTTCACATATTTCAATTCTTTGGCCGTTTGGAAGAAAGGCCGTTCATCTTGTAAGCATTTCATTAGCTGAAAACTCATTAATTAATTTTTTTTTCAATACGTCCAATTAAACAATAGTATTTTTTCTTTATTCCAAAATCACTCTTAAAGAACTAACAGAGTTGTACATATTAGCAATAGCAGGAAAAATAAATAAGCACTGAAATTAATAAAGTGTTATTTTTTGTCAGACACAGTGCATTAAAAATAGTCGTAGTTGGTGTTTGTTCTGTCACTTTAATCTCTATCATCCCACCTGTTACAGACTCTACCACATCTATCCAGCTGCACTCCTCCTGGGCTGATGCGGGCAGGGCTGTGATCGCAGAGCGGCAGTAGTGAATTGTCTTCCGACCATAGAAGCTGTCGACGATCTCTATGACTTGGCCAGAGCCACACTGCAGGGTGGCATTTTGTCCATGACATGCGATAGATCTCCCAGAATCTAAAAAATATATATGTTTTGAACAATAACAATAAAACAAAACAAATCCAAGAATTGTTTACAGATATTTGTTAGTATGATTAAAATGTTTTTACCAAACTGGCAGATGAAGTTGAGTTCCTGGCTGCAGTTCACTGTGGCCTCCCACTGGAAGCCAGAATTTGCAAGGACATGTCCACAAGCTGCTTCTGAATCGGGAGGGTTTACCCAGTTATTATAGCTGACATCAGAACTATCCAGCCATGCAAGGGAACCTGAGGGAGAAAAAGGTAAATATTGTTTTTTCAATGGATTTACTAGGATTAACTAGGCTAGTCTAGGAAAAAAACAAATGTTGAGGCAAGGTCATTTTACATCTCCTTTTCTCTGGGGTACCTACATTGTACAGAACCGTGTAGGGCTCAGTTGTTGGTAGCAAAACACACGGCTGTACTAGTGGCAAATGACTGATAAAACCCCCTTTTAGAAAGACAATAAAACCTTTTACAATGAAGAGCACTTGACTACGAGCTTGCTCAAAAGCTCAGCTGAATACAGGGGGGAATTTGTCATCACACCTGCTGCTCAAAGACAATATCAGAGCATGTCAGCCAGCAGTGAACAAACATGCCACACAGCTCTTTAATGGATGTGCTGTTGTTCTGTGATGTTCTCATTTCTGGATGTTAATGTTAATACCAGGGCAATTACATCAGATTAAATAGTGTATTTTATATTTGTTTATTTATTTATTATTTGTTTAATAAATATTGAGTAAAATATTTAGAATGTAAGGTCTCAAAAAGATCAATGATTTACTGGAAAGCAATTAAGAAACCTTAAAAATGAACATTAATTTTAAATCCCATGGAGTATCTGGGTTTATCACTCACCCTCAGTACCAGCAGCTTCCAGTGTGAGGTTTGGAGCAGCAGGTGCCAGTCCAAGCCACCAGTCCTTCTCAGGCTCCAGGTGCTTCTGTAGGAACTGTTGAGTTTCATCATTAAGAATAAAGACTAGGTGTCCTCCACCTCTCTCACACCACCCCTGTGCACTGAGGAAGGATCGGCGCAGACCCACAAACTCGTAACAGGAGCCGTCAAATCCTTCCTGAAGTTCTGGGCAGGTCAGTGTGTCCTCGTCAGCGTAACAAGCCCAACGAAGGAAAAGGGCCGTGAAAGTCAGTGGAGGGAAAGCCGCTCTGTCCATCTCTGTCTCAGCCTTCGTACATGGTTCAGATTCTCTGGGAACATGACTTTAAAGGGTGATGACGTAAAAGGCCCTGACAGTGATCAGTACTTGGGGATAATTTCTGACACCGGGACAGCTTCCTTTTAGCTCCCAACCTTTGTATTTCCCCCATAATCCTTAAATACAACAAAGCTCCAATGGGTAGTGAAAGGGGACATGACAACAGTCAACAGCCACCAATTGTCCCACTGTTTTCATTACCATAGGGCTCCACAATCTGCAGAGTGAGATAAGCCCTCCATTCAGACCTGCACCTTGGAAAACATCAATTTAAACTTTATAGGTGACCAAATGCCTTGTGGGCCTGTTAAAATGTACCTAGTATTCTATGTTATATATATAAATATATACAGTATATATGTATTGTATTTATTTATGTATTCTGTATGTGTAACAGCTTTATGCTATATATATATATACTATATATGTACTATATACTATATATATACACATACTTACACAACAATTTAACAAATTCAGAATGATGTTAAATTGCTATTGTATTTTGTTTTTTTCTATGTGTTTTACCTCTTCATTTAGGCCCTTTAAAGAAATGGTTGGAAAAATTACTGTTATATTTATTAATTTATTTATGGAGCATGTCACATGTATTTTCAGTAATGTGATAACCAGTCAACAAGTCAGGGATTAATTAATTGTTAATTAATACGGTGGGTTGTTTACAGAAATGCTAATGAGCAGTCGCTTTACAGTTCATCTATATCTGAAATATTGTGGAGAAATAATTTTTTTTTCATTGTTTCCTCTTCCACATTATTGCACAATGGTAAGTAAAAGTGTAGTGTAGTGTACTCACAATTGTACAAATAAATGATTTTGAAAACAATTTAAAATGTTTGATTTTTAATTACTAGCAATATAGAGTGCTAAACAATTTCGGAATATATATATATAGAAACCTTACTTGTTGAAATGATTGTTTCCTTGTTCAGTATCATTCACAAATGCGTTCTCCAGATAAACTCCCGCGTTACAATAATTAAATGTCCATTTTTATTTAAGACTATATGCTTTTATTTTAAATATTTTTATACTTATTTTGAAAAAAGAGACCCGGATATATGACGTCACAATCGTGCGACCAGTTGAGGACATGACTTATTGAGATAATCGGTCTGTTCTGATGTAAAAGTTGCGTAAAATTGTTATAGCACATTATTTAAAACATGTGGGCGCTAAAATGGAGCTTGACTTGCATTACCAGCTCCTCTCTTCGGCTACTCGGAAATAACCGGAGGGTACGTTTTACTGCAGCCTCCATTTGCCCCTGTTCCCAATCTAACCGTTAACACTCCTCGCCCTTGTCCTCTTTAGGCGGCTGTCTGTCAGCAGCTGCACAGGAGTTTGTCCACTCAAACTGACGGAGAAGTCCGAATTGCCAACATCCTGAAGGAGAAGTTTCCCACGGCGTCATCGCTCAAAGTTGTGGATATTTCAGGTAAACAACACACAGCATATGTTGTCTGTTTATTTATTGATCGATTCATTTGTTTATGCCCTTTAAGCCCTTGTGGACTAATTATTCCAGCTATATTACTATAGATCAAATATCTCATTTTCAGTCCTTGAGTTTGCATAAAAATTGACCTATCCGAACATTAAGAAACTAGTAGTTTTAGAGTTAAAAGATCCGAGGTGGCAGTAGTTCACAACTGATAGGTATTTAAATGTAATTCTAACCTTAATGTAAATCATAATCAATAAACCTTTTCCTAAAAAGTGCAGATACATATGATCTTTAACAGAAGTCAGCCATCTTCTAAGGCCCAGTGCAAGTTTTTAAAAACAGAAAGTACAGCACAATGCCGCCTGTGAATGGACACTAAATGTGTTAGACAGCTGGACCATCCAAATGTGGCCTGGTCATGTTGTATGTTTATTGTGAATCCTTATCTCTCAAGCGACTTTTTCACATTCACTCACTCAGTCTGTTTGAAGTTTTTATTTTTCACATGCTTTTAAAAACTATTTAAGATCAGCACTCAGTGTACTTGTGTCCCTCATCTTGTCTGTAGGTGGTTGTGGAGCCATGTATGAGATCCATGTAGAGTCCAATGAGTTCAAAGGAAAGAGGACAGTTCAGCAACACCAGTTAGTTAATCAGGTAAATAATAAAGAGACACATTTTTCTATAGCAGTAACAACATAAAGAGTAGGACCATATTCACTCACGTTGGTCCTTCTAAAACCCCTTTGAACGCTAAATTCTAAGAATTGTGTTGACATGTTAAAAAGTTGCTTTTTGTTGTCATTTTACCCCATAGGCACTCAAGGATGAGATTCAAGAAATGCACGGACTGCGAATATTTACTGCCATCCCAGAGTCCTAGAGACCTTCCACCATTGAAATATCAATTGCTCCTTTGTATATTTTAATCTTGTATAAAAGTAGACTATTAAACTGATTTTATTTTAGTTTATGAATTCCATTATGCCACACACCATTTTACAAGTTGATATAGTGGAACTTTTTCCAAACACCACACAGTGGGGAGTGGTTATTACTGCTTGTTTACAGCAGAAAGATTAGCTGTTTAAATAGTTGTTTTTCTTAATGTGTTACTCATGATGGATTGGTGAACTGCCCAGGTTGTACCCAGCCTTGTCTTGTTGACTGCTGGGATTGACTTGGCTTGCATTGAGATGTGACAGCTACTCTGGCTGTGATGAAGAGTGACATCGTCTGTGACATATGGACTAAGAAACTGGACTATATGGACTAAGCAATAAGAAATAATATAATAATATACACCAAATATCACAAGCGTATGTTTTACTTTGTGAGAAAACTGAGGTAATGTACAGGTAATATATACAGCTGAGCTATTATATGCACAAACTTCATGGTAAAATGCCAGTACAATACTATTTATAGAGATTTTTTGGGGGAAGGGGCATGTTTGTATAATGCTATGGTAACAATACACGACTGGTGGTTATAGCAAATTGGTTATAGTGTATTGCATTGTTTTTTTTTTTTTGGTAATGCTACCAATTAAACTAAAAATTCATAAAAAGGAGTTCTGTGTTGAGCTTTTTTCTATTTAGATATAGATGTAATACTTTTGTTATTTTTGATGGAATGCTTTTTTTTAGTTTAATTGCAAATATCATAATAAATGCCTCTATCCCAGAACCTAAATCATTTTTCTTTATCTGATAAATCAATCAGCAGGAGAAAGAGAGAGACAGAGAGAGGCCGCCTTTATATCTGAGGCCACAGGTGAGATGGATCTCCCCAACGAGGTGGGAGGGAAGGGAGGAGCACAGAGAAACCAGCAAAAACAACATGGCCAAAGGCCATCACAATGGATGATGGATAAGTATTACAATATATTCTCAGCACAGAGGACAACAATAACCTGCACCAAATTCCAGACTTTTATTTATAACTAATGTTAAATGCTCTTTCTAAATAGAATCAGCACCTACAGTAGTTGGTGTTACAGGTCTGTCCTGTTGTTTAAAGCTTATTGTCAGTTTGATTATTTAGGGAAGGTTTATCTGACTTTTTTATATGCAAATTATTAATATAAAATAATAGACTACTACACATTTGATATGATCTCGTGGGCCAAATATAATTACACTCCGGGACAGATTTGGCCCCCGGGCCTAAGTTTGACACGTATGTTTTATAGTGTTGTTCAGACTTCAACGGTGTTTGGTTTTGACCTTTTAGATCCAGCAGATGGTGCCCTTCAGACACTAACTTGTTAAAAGGCATAGACAGAGAAAAGAGAAAAACACTAAGTAGAAATATTTTATTTCCAAAAGAACAATCCAACATCATTCATTTTATCATCATTTCATTTAAAAGTGTGTTATAATTGCTTAAAAAAACAGTCAGAAATAAAAACGTTAAACTTTAGTGCTAACCCATCGATCTTTCCTCGAATCCACGTCTGCGCACAGCCCTAGCACACATCATCACCATCATCATCACCGCCACCTTCATCATCATCATCACATTGATCCCCGAAGAGGAGCAGGGAGAGGAGAGCAGCAGCTCCGCAATATGGCTAAAGAAGCAGCAGGTATGACAGAGGAGACCGAGTACATGATAGACAGACAGGTGAGCAAAGAAGCGGACACCGCGGCGGAATCATCCGGCGATGCCAAGGAGATGCGGGCGGTGATTCTGTCAGGTTTCGGAGGTTTGAACAAACTCAGGGTGAGCAGGAAGCCGATGCCTGAGCCACAGGAGGGAGAAGTAAAGATCCGCGTCAAAGCCTGGTAAATATGACAACGACTACACTGTCAACATGTGCTTTCAGTTGCATCTTTCTGGTTGTAACTATGACAGTGTGTGTGTGTGTGTGTGTGTGATGCAACCTTTTTATGCAGTCACGATGCCACAGGTCCTTCCAGTAGCTGCAGCAGGGTTACAGTCTGGAGCCCATTCTAACCGTGCAAAAGTTATTTGCATTTTCTCATTTAATCATAATATTTTTTTAACACCTATGAGTTTTTAATTCTGATTTTGAACGTGCTGTCAATTCATCGGAAAGGATGAAAACCAAGTGTCTTTTATACTTTTATGGAGACACCACTGGGATTCAGTGATTTTAGGTTTATGTTACTGTTTGTTTCCCTTTTTTAAATAAATACATTTAAATTAAAGTTTTTTGTTACTGTGGCAGGGCGTCATGGCTGGACTGTTTAGCCCCAAATACCATAGGCTATATACCATACGATACTGCAGGTATAATATCCTGTCTGTCAAACTTTGACAGTCCCTGTATACAAATGTCTCCAGATTGGACCACATTGTGTTACCTTATATTCATCTTTATACCAATGTTTCAAAGCTTTCATTTCTCATTAGCCACAATAATATCTTTAACACTCACACAATCACAGCTCAAACACATTTATTCAGAACTGTATAATGGTCCTCCCTGCTCGTTTGTGATTTTTTAAAAACAGTCAAAAAATAAATCAAATGATAACAATAATTTTGATGACATTATTTTCCAGATTTCTCTATCCATTCATTTCAGCTTAACTTCCATTGGCTAGTGACAATTTATTATTTGTAACATATGTACAAAAACATTTGATTGAAGGAAAATGTTTGATTTCAGTGGCTTGAATTTCCTGGATCTGATGGTTCGTCAGGGGGCAATCGAGAATCTTCCAAAACCTCCTCTCGTGCCTGGATTCGAATGTTCAGGAATCGTGGAATCTGTGGGTGAAAACACAGAGGGGTTTGAGGTTAGTACAAATAAAACACTGAATTAACTTCCAATTCACTTTCACAAGTTTGTTTCTCATAAGTATTTGGTACTTTTCTGCTATCTGAATATATGTTTTTACACAGATAGGCGACAGAGTCATGGCTTTTGTCAATTACAATGCCTGGGCAGAGGTCGTCTGCACACCAGCAGTGTTGGTTCACAAGATTCCAGATGAAATGACTTTTGCAGAGGCTGCAGCGTTCTCCCTGAACTTCGTGGCTGCCTACATGATGCTCTTTGAGGTCGCCAATTTGCGAGACGGCATGTCAGTGTTAGTGCACTCAGCAGGAGGTGGTGTAGTAAGTCTCCTTTTTAATGACTATTGCACAGCCACAGAAAGACTAAAGCTATTTCTACACAATGCTCATTAACTCTGACCGTGAACAACCACAGTTGATCCACTCCCTGTTTTCACCGTATGTCTGTGTATGTATTTGAAAAAAACAAACACACCAGGAGTTGTGTGTGTAGAGCAGGGGTGTCCAAAGTGATTTTCACACAGATACAAATACTGTGTTGTTGTGCTGTTCCTGTGATACTTAGTGATTTTCACACAGATACAAATACTGTGATTTGTTGTGCTGTTCCTGTGATACTATAGCTATGTAGCTACAGTTTATTTTCACACTGATGCAATTGTTTAGTTGTCCAGATAAATAATTACAGGCCACTGCATTTTGGGAGAATTTCCTCCCAACCTTTTTCCCTTTATCTATTAAAGGTCGGACGCACAGAAATTTGTCAAAGGTCAAAAAGGAAACGGCTTAAAAGGTTATAATTGGCAGTTCATTAAAATCAATTCAAAGAAAGAAGCTGAGGGAAACACCACAACTCGTTTCATTTTAAAGAAAAAATCTGTAAAATAAAAACAGTGAAAGGATAATTTACATTGCTGTTTTGGAAAAAAAATGAACCAACTGTAAAATTGAAGGTTAAAATATACTTTTAAAAACTTTTTGTACAAATTACTGTAGTTAAAAAAAACAATACATTCCAGTAAAAATGATTGAATACCCTGTTAAACTAAACTATTATTGAAATAAACCATCATATGTTTATTCAGTTTACTGTATATGTTGTCCTTTACATACGAGTAAACAAATGTAGTGTGTTCGTATACCTTATATATCTAGTAAGAACCAAGAGGGTCTCGATGAATAAGCCTATAACGAAGCATATTAATTAAAAGTAGAAATGACACATTGCTCAGAGCAGTGTTTAATCATCAGTAACTTGAGTGTTTCTCTGTGGATTCCAGGATTTCAGATTCTGTCGTTGTTTTGGATGTAGGGCTAACTAACGTTTCCTTATTGATCTATTGCTGTGCCTGTGTGCTATTCCAAAGGGTCAGGCTGTAGCTCAGCTGTGCTCCACTGTTCCCAACGTCACAGTGTTTGGAATCGCCTCCTGCTTCAAACACACGGCCATCAGAGACTCGGTGACTCATCTGTTCGACAGAAATGCTGATTATACACAGGAAGTCAAACGGTAAGAGCCGTGACAAACGTCTGTGTCAGGCTTTGATTTGCCAGGAACAACGAGAGACATTACCTGTGGCTAATTTAAGACTGCACTTCCACGATGCATGCACGTAACCGGGTTAGACACGTCAGCTAATGTGATAACGTGGATATCCCTGAGACTGAATGACAGGAAGCAGGCAAATGTTACCTGTTGTTTTTTTTGGTCTGGTGTGGCCCTGGTCCCCATGGAAACTCACAGTTAATCTGAAAGAGCAGCAGAGGTCTGCACCGACAGTCAGTGCAGCCTCCGAGCCAATACGGCTTCACACACGTTATTCACAGAGAACAACTCATAACAAACACCTGCTGAGATTACCATAACGTGACATTTTTATGTCTATCAGTCACTATAGTCTGCATGTCCAGGTCCAGAGGGCACTGTGTGATGTGTGTTATGCTACATTAGCAAGGATCTGTTAGTATGCAGTTAAAGTATTTATCATCAGTATACTCTCTAAAGTACCGCGGAAGACTACTATTACCTGATAATATTGTTTTCAAGAAGCTAAATTATTGGCACTGGTGAGTTCAACCCCTGCTGCTGGATTTTGTAATGGATTACTTTGCTTTTCATCTCTGTGCCCTGCACATTTTTCTCAGGATCAAGAGCAAAGTACAATTAAATTGGGCTTTTCTTTCTTTTTTTAAGAAAAAAAAGAGCTGCAGGAATCACAAGACCAACATCAGTTTAGATTTCCAGAGCTACAGTCCACGGCCGAAACAGGGGAATTTAAGTCCTATTGTAGAATTGATAACATTCTTCTCATTCTTACTGAGCAGATTAAATGAACAGAAACTCTGGCCCTGTTTGGACAGGGTTCATTTAGTCCAGTAAATTATTAGGCTTTTCCATGGTTATGTTTTTTTTTTTTTTTTTTTACCAAGATGACAGAAGCTGGTTGATGGAACACTCTAAATTAGCGAACATCAACTTGTGGCCCATGGCCCAAATCTAGACCCCCAAACCATCCAGTCCATGGCCCTATTTTTTCTTTTAATTTATATTTCACTTTATTTGAGTGTCTGTCTTCCCTAAGTTGCCTGTCTAGAATTCTGTCCCTCAGACAAACACACTTGGTGTCTCCTGATCTACATTGACTGTGAATGGCTGTTTATCTCTGTATACAGCCAGAGCTAATTTTTGTCATCTTCATCTTTTCTGTTGATATTTTAGAATTTGTCCAGAGGGAGTGGACATACTGCTGGACTGTCTGTCTGGGGAGAACACAGGAAAAGGTCTGAGTTTGCTGAAGCCACTGGGGACGTACATCCTGTACGGTGAGAGCTCACGTTGACATTGCACGTAGGATAATGAGGAAAAAGCTCCCAAGAAAACTATTAAATTGATTTTCAGCAAGTCAGTTATATTTATTTACGATTTATTAAGTCAATCTCTACATTCATTATGTTCTATTCGATAAAGTAATGAGAATATAATTGGAATATGTTTTGGTCCACAGCAGAGATGCATATAACAGTAATTGTAATCACTGTAATTATTCATTTCTAATTCTATAAAGGCAGGAGATTTTCTCATTCGACTTTTGCTGGAATAAATCCAGGCTGTTATTTAGGAATTGTTCATTTCAGAGAAAATCATGTTAATGTGTTTCTCCCAACTTTCAGTTTTTGTAGCTGCTCCTGAGCAACAAGAGCTAAATGAGCTTTTCTTCTTTGGAATCGTTTAGACTTTTTTCTAAACTAAATATAGTCGCCTTTGGCAGACTTCTCTGTTAACATAATTATACAGACTTATTTTTGTGCTTTTTCTGGCTAAATATGTTGCAACTCTATGTTTGCCACTTTAGAAACAACACAGACACAGAGACACAAGGTATAAACTGTGTTTTTCAGCTTAGCATTCCCACAAAGGTTTAAAAAAAAAATAGAATTGTATATGATTAATATGAGTCCAATATTATTCATGGTATTTTCAAAGCATTTTGTCTCAACCATTGTTAAATCCTGTCCCTTCTTCATGTCCGTTTTTATGTGATATCTGGTAATAACAGCACCTACTGCCAAGTCTCACAAATCAAAATCACAAATGAAAGGAGAAACAGTTTATTTATCTCAGATGTAAAATATAAATGTGCCAAAAAGCCCTGTTTTTCATCACTTTCCTTCGCCATCCTCTGTTATTTATCTCTTTTATTTCTGATGTTTGTCTTTTTATCAGGCGCCTCAAACACGGTCACGGGGGAAACAAAGAGCTTCTTCAGCTTTGCAAAATCAGTGAGTCAGTGCTGCAGACCTCAGACAACGGCATGCAACAGAAATAGTACACGTCACACAGGAGTCACACAGGATCCACGTGTCTCTTCATCTTTTTTTTTCTTTTCTTTTCTTTTCCCCTCCAGTGGTGGCAGGTGGAGAAGGTGAACCCCATTAAACTGTATGAAGAGAACAAAGTCATAGCCGGGTTCTCGCTCCTGAACCTCCTCTTCAAACAAGGGAGGTGTAGCCTTGTGAAGTCAGTGATGGACAAACTGTTGTGTCTGTACAATCAGAAGAAGATCAAGCCAGTGGTGGACTCCCTGTGGGCACTGGAGGAGGTAAGAGCTGCACTGGGATCAGATGCATGGAGTTTAATGAGGATGGGCTTTAACCCAGGTAGTACTGTTGTCACATCACTGCAGTACTGCTAATAAGATACTGCTATGGAAAACTCCATATGTTTTAGTGTACGTTAATATGTTTATAATGTTCAAAAGAATATATTTGATTTATAATTAATTTAGTTTTAAACTGTTGCGTTTTCATCACGGGCATCAAAGTGTTAACTAAGGAGGGTTAAAAAAAGATGAAACCAATGAAGACTCAATTTTATTCTGTTTTATATCTGTGGAATCTTTAATACCACATTAAGTTGTCTTCTCTGTGCAACGTTGTCAGATGCTCAGGAACATTTTGAACAGATGGTGGGTAGGTTGCATCTTTTTGATCCACAATTACTTCACACCCACACAGATCCTGGAGGACATGTCATTTCTTTTTTTCACTTCACATTTATAAAAATAATTCAAAACTCATTGTGAGATAAATACTTTTACTCATGATATTGTAGCACTAAGAAGAGAAGAGAACAACACTGTGCATGTTGTCAGAGGTGAACTGTTATTTTCTGACATTAACAGCTCTGATCCAGCACACAGTTTAAAATCCTTACTTTGCCTGAAGGACGTTTTTGCTCATCACTGTTGTTTATAGCAGGATTCAGCATCACATTCTTGTTTTCATAAAAACACAAACTCCTGACACAAGAAGATAAACAAACACTCTAGATTTTTTTTCTTTCTTTTTTTGTGGGGCCATTACTCCCAGTACTGATATTGTTTATCCGAACTAAAATGTCAGGAATTCTTTTTCCACACCTTGCAAACTGGGTATATGAAAAAAAAATGTAGATAAAGTTCCACTTGGTGCAAATAGGAGGCTGACTATGTGCCAGCTGACAGTAGAGTAGATTTTAGGTTTTAATTTCTCATGGGAAACAGCCTCTGTTCCGTCATTAAACTCTGGCAGTTACTCAGGCCATTCACTGGAACAGTGGCCATGAACAATCTCATCTGATGGGAGGATGGAGGGAGATGTTTAGTCGAACGTTCAGCCTCCCTGTATTGTTAAAGTGTTTAAAAGAGGAATTCAGAGGGAACTAGTTTTCTGGCCAGCTGTACACTCTATGCCTTCCACCTGTCAGTGAAAGTCCTGTTAAAAATGAAAAAAAAAAACAACAAGTGAAATGTGGATTTTCGACAAATCTCCATCCACCATTGTGTGAATGCAAACTCTGACCTAGTTTTCTCTTGGCTTGATTTCCAGTGTTTGACTTGACAAGTAAAAGTGTGTGACACAGTTTCTGTCAGACAGAGATGAACATTCAGTTCAGTGTCTCTGTTCAACTGTAATGAGAAAAGAAGGCGGGGTCTCCTGGGTTATGCATGGATGAGTTCTTCTTTAGCTAGTTGGACACAATGTCATGAACTGTGCAGTTGTTTCATTAAGCATTATATATTATATATATATATATATATATCTACTCCTTTTTTAATAATAAAATAATAAATGTGTTTTTAATTATTACTGTTTCTTCATCCATAGTATTTCTAGATTTTTAATGAAAAAGGTGGATTCTCCACTGCATCGGTGTAATTGAACATTCCTGCAGCCCCTGCAGTAGCGAATGTGTGTTCAGTGTGATGTCAAACATGGTTCAGCCACATGAGTCACCATGAGAGTGAGTGTGAGTCATTACAGGTTCCCACTGGGTGAGTTTAGGTTACTGCTCCTCCGCGTCTGTAATGACCATTAAATTGCAATAGTGTCAACACCGACATAATGATAAAAATAAGCGTTTGAATATTACACGGCACCTAACGACCTCTCATGTTCTCGGCTCTGAGTCATTCTTGCACCAAAATTCATTTTAAGCACTGGAGTGAAAAACTGTAAATAGGCAAAAAGATACAAATGATTATAGATGTGAGCTGCACCTTTCTGTCTAATATACAGTATGTGAGTTAGGTTGCATTCGTTTTTTCTGTTCATTCTTATCTACCGCTCTTATTCTCAGTGTTACGGTGTGAACTGTAGTCAGTCCAACCAGTCACCAGTCCACCACTGGGCCACATGGAGAACCAAACAACCATCCACAAATGCATTCATACCTGTGGTTTACTTAGACTGAACAATCAGCTGAACGTGCATGTTTGGAATTGAGGAAAATAAAACACACACACACACACACACACACAGAGAGAACATACAAACTTTATACAGAAAGACCACTGGTTTCCACCAGGGTTCTAACATGTGACCTTTCTAGGTGTAAGGAAAGAGCGCTCACCACTCATCCACTTTGTGATCTGTTTATTGTTTTTAATGCATACTGGACAGTTTTGGTTTGTTTTTTAAGGTACAAAAAAACAAACGTCCTTAGATCAACCACAAAGTAAGAAAACGCAGCTTAATACTGTGTTGCATTTACAGGTCAAGGAGGCCATGCAGAGAATCCATGACAGAGGCAACATAGGAAAACTCATTCTGGATGTTGAGAAGACTCCCACACCTCTGGTAACAACTGTTTTGATGCGATGTGCTTTATTACAGCAGTGGAATATGTATAAGATTTGTTTATATAATAATATATATATATATATATATATAGTGTCGATCAAAACAAGTACACAAACCATAGAAGAGAAGTATTAGGGGCTGCTGCTAGACGTTACTGCTTATGCTGCTTGTGATTGGATCGCTCCTTCAGATGGCCAGCGACAGCACAGAGACCAGTGAAACCGGAGAAGAAGAAGAGGAGCCTGAGGGAGACAACGACAGTAAGGAGCGGATGCCTTTCATCCATTAGAACTGACCTATGCCTGTGCTGTACAGTGTGTGATGTGAATGCATATGTGCATGGGCATACTGTATCTGTGCACAGTGTGTTTGTACACCTGTGTGTTATTTTTAAGTCAATGGGTTTACTTCTTTTTTTTTTTTTTTTTGGAGCAAATGAAGATATGTGTCCTTCAGGCAACTAATGCAATGCAGTGTGTTCTCAGAAACAGTAGTATTACATTTGACCGTTGTCCATTCCAGCTGCAGTTTTTTGAATTAGCAGGAGAGTAAAAATCTCGTATCTTTTGTGCCACTTCAACATCACTATGTCAGAGAGTACATTTTTTGAAGCCCCCCCGATGTTTACAGTACAACACGCAGTAAGGACTATAAAGGTATAAACATTATAACAGCTACTATTGTTAATGCTGTAATGTTTATAACACGTTAGGCCAAAAAAAGCTACTTAAAAAAGCTGTGTACAGGCCATGTGCCAACCTTGTTATATTATGGGATCACCAGTGCCTTTGATAGAATATTTGGTCGCGGTCAGTATATTCATGTATACATGATGAAACTGTGAGAGTATTTTTGAAGAGTCACTGCATCAGTTTTCCATGTCGCGTGACCAAAGTTGCTATAAAAGCTGGTGCCTCACAACAAAAGTGCCATAAAACAAAAACCCCAAGATCATTTTTTTTAGAGCACGACTGCTGTATAACGATTGATTAAAGCGTCAATGTTGTTCGATTTTATTACAATATGACATTCTACGGTATGAATCTGTGAGCTGTTGGATGAATCAGTGGCTAAATTTAAAACATTCATCCATGTTTTGTTTTGTTTTTTGTTTTGTTTTGTTTGTTTTTTGCTTTTTGAGTAGCAGGAAATAAAAAATAAAGGAAATATTTGCATGTAAAAATGGACATTTACATTATAGCTCAATTAAGAAATAGTTTTATTAGATCATTGTCTATATTAAGGATATTTGTTCTTAAACGTGTCAAACTGTGAGATACAGTAGGGGTGTGTGATAACACTGTGGGAAGGTAAGTGACCTTGAAAGAGTTCTGCATTCTTTGACTGCTGTTTCTGGTTTATCATGTCCTTAAATTAGCTCAAAAGTATCACCTGACCAGTATTTATCTATAGAGGATTTATAGTGATCATGTAGTCAGCCAACTTGGTAAAAGCAGTATCAGTCCTCGATCTGTCTTTGGATATTTAGATGTTGCTCTTTGTTAAGATACAAGTCGGATTAATTAGTTATTGGTCTCAGAGTTTGATGAAACACATCTCTGATCAGAAATGTTATTTTCAATGATTAGAAAAAGTTTATATTACAAATATTATCAAGTGTATGTGTTTTTGTGTGGTCATATTTCACATGTGAGCTTTGTTTAAGTACAGCTTTGTTATACTTGAATACATCTATTTGCAAAGTATTCTCTCCAATGTTTTGTATTAAGTCTTGCAAGTTTATTTTGTGTATTAAAGGCATCATTGAATGTTGTTAAAAGCATTCCCTTTGCTCTTCAAAAGACGCGTTGCTGTCGCCAGGGGGGTTAACTTTATTTGTTTCTATATAATTTCTCAGTTGGGCAGCAGATGGCAGCAAAGTTTAGGGTATTTATTATATACCAGGGGTCACCAATCTTTTTGAAACTGAGAGCTACTACACTTAATAATACGAAGAGCTTCTTGTTTGATACAGACTTTCGAACAATGTAATAATAACTAGTTCTGGGACATACAGTAGTAGCCACTCTTCTTACCATCGTCATTGCACCCATTTGAATATCACTGCAAGTGTAACTGATTCAAAAAGAACAGCAACAGTACAATTTCTGACCCTCTTGTTGACTAGTTTTATTTCTAGAACATATCTCACGGGCACATTACCAGGCCCGCGGGCACCACGTTGCTGACCCCTGTTATAAACAGTACTTTGCAAGCACACTGTTGTTTGTTTTACGTTTATTTCCTAAGCTTAAAACTATTATATAAACATTTAGATATTTAGGGCTATGTTTTTGGTTATTATTAGTCCATTCTGCACGTTTTTGTTTAAATTGAGCTAACTGTAAGGCTAAGCTTGTTTATGGCTGACTGTTGGTGATTTCTTTGGCTGACTTTAAGATATTTAGGCAAAATTTTGATTATCTCTAGCAATATGTTTGCTAAATATTGGTTAACATTTACCCACATGTCTGTTTCTGGGGGAAAAGTGCAAAGGATAACAATCCACACGCAGAAAACTTAGTCCTCCTTCAGGTTGTTGCTTCACTCCTTATTAAACATATTTTGAGAATGGAAAGTGTCTGACAAAAATTTAAAAATAATTCTTATTAAAATGTATATTTAATTTGGTAAAATGTAAACACAAACATAAACAGAAAGGCTGAATGACTTTATTCAATGCTTTGCCCCATACATGAGGTTCTTGCTTCTTATTTAGCTCCCCCTCTGTCTGTTTACAACATTTACTGTAAAAATAACTGTCCGAACCAGCTGTACTTCCTTCGGGGTTTCTAAGTTTTTTTTAAATATTACTCAATTGGGGGTTTGTTGCTGAAACATTTAAATATTTATATTTGTGTATAACAGATCTGACATAACAATCAGCTAAATACATACTGTTAGGATAACATGTAGTCAGTGGGACGTGTAAACATTTACTGGATGACATCAGCAATTCAAGGCAAAAATGAAGAGAAGAAGAGAGGGTAGACAGGGTGGAGTGGGTGGTTCAGGACTTAGGGGTAATTTGCGATAGAGGTTGGAGTGAAACCAAGGGACGAGATGATAGTGAGACCTGCTATGATGTATGAGTTGGACAAGAATGGATTATAAGAAGGTGAAGATGTGGAGGTTTCCAGTGGGAGCAGTCAGGAGTAGAGGAATGGAAATGAGCAGATGAGAAGACGTAAAGAAGAAGGATGGAGATAAAGTTAGAGAGGCCAGATTAAAATGGGTTGTATGGGTGTAGCGGAGAAATAGTTTATTGGACATGGATTGGTGTAAATAAAGATAATTTAAAAGTCTCACTAATATATGAAGGATGATGTCATTAATGGAGGCAAACAGTGGGAGGAGACACAGGCAGACGATCTTCTGTGACAGCTCCTAAATGGAGCAGTTATCAAAGCATTGAATCAAGATGGGGAGATTTAAAAATAATGTTATTACAACTCACATTATATAACATTAATATTCACTTTATAAATAGTGAATTGACATTTTCAGCACTGAAATGTAAAGGGCGGGGGAGATGAGATGAAAAACACCCTGTGACGGTGGATCAGTCAATGAATTTCTGGTTTGTTTGTGAAGTGAAAAGGAACACTGCTTAGAGCACCTTGTCCCAAGTAAATATTTTTTAAAAGCCAGACAGACACAAGGAAATCATTATTTACCACTCGGCCCTCACACCTCCCCGACCTCCTCCTGATGCTTGCACAAAAACAAACACAGTTAGAGCCAATGCATGGCCAGCGTTCAGAAGAGGGTCAGTATATATAGAGGTGCCTGTGCAGCAGCATAAGGCGGGTCACTGTGTCCACTGGCCTCAGACATGGCACGTCTGGTTCTCCCTGTATTCCTTCTTCTCTGCTTCACTCTGCTCCAGTCTGGCTCCTGTCGCCCACCTCGAACCAGAAAGGCCGTGTCAGCTCGTCAGCCTGCAGGTATAACTGGACATTAGACATCTTAACATTATTAGAAGGAGTGTGCTCTATATTAAAAAAAAGAGAAAGAAATTAATGCTTCTTTGTTGCAATGCAGATGAAGATGTTAAATCTCAGCTTGAGAAGTTGTGGTTGGAAGTGAACTCACTGAAGGAGATGCAGGCGCTGCAGACAGGTAAAACTCGAATTTAATGAATATAGAATAAACAATATATGGTGTAAAATAGAAAACATTGATACGTTCTAAGAAATTATTAAAACCTTTTCATTTTGGTTTAATTATGAGCCTAATGTTGAGGTTATTGATGTTTAGGCACACAAAGTCGCTTGTTCTGCAGCATCACCAAGAGGGGGCAGAAAAACGCAGACAATCGATGAAAAATATTCAAACATTAATAATTAGTCAGAACTTACCACAGTGTGAAGTAATATATATATAAAACTATATTACACTTCAACTGTCTACGTGAAATATTACGTTAATATTAAATTCTAATGTTATTATATGTATTATTGTTTTTTGTAATTGTATTCAGTGGGGATACTATACCTACAATTCCCCAAAGGTGGCTGACTTATTTCTATAATATTTAATAAATTATTCAAAGATAAATATTATATATATATTTATAATGACAATATTTTAGGGACTTACTGTTACTGTTATTAACTAATTACTAACTACTAACTACTAACTAGTTACTTCCTAAATTTCCCCAAGGGAACTCATGAGGGATTTATAAAGTGCTATCTGTCTATCTATCTGTAAGGTTTCTCATGCAGTGTCTCATGCTCTGTGATTGCAGTTTGCCTCCGTGGCATCAAAGCTCACAGGAAATGTTACCTCACTGTTGAGGAACCCAAACATTACCATGAAGCAAATGAAGACTGCATTGCACAAGGAGGGACCCTTGCAACACCACGGGACATGACAGAGAACAATGAACTGAGGGACTATGCAAAGAGAAGCGCTCCAGGATCCAAGGACTTCTGGATTGGTGTGGCAGACATAGTGAAAGAAGGCCAGTATGTTGATGTGAACAGCATGCCAGTCAGCTTTTTGAACTGGGACCGCTCCAAGAAGCAGCCTACAGGAAACAAGAGGGAGAGCTGTGTTGCTCTTTCAGTTGCTGCACAGGGGAAGTGGTACGACGAGGTGTGTCGCAGCCTGAAAAAGTACATCTGTGAATATGTCATTCCTTAGGAAAAAGGACTGGAAGTGACAACTGCATTTTGTGGGTCATTCATACGATAATACAGAACAAACTATAAAGAGAATACACACGTCTTCAACCAATCAAATCAGTCAATCAAAATGTATCTATACAGCTCTTCACAACAAAGGGTGAGCAAAGGTACAAACTAAGCAGGTTCCAACATAAAAATAAGACAAATATAACCAAAATTAAAAAGGTAAAACAGTAATAAATAAACTTGAGAACGGAATAAAAAAGTCACAGTACTTTAAGGTATTATAATCCATTTTAAATAAACAAATTTAATGCTTAGCTTTAAAAAGCACCAGATCATCAGTCATGTGGATGTCAGAGGGAAGTATGTTCAAATGTCTGGGAGCAAGCGAGAGAAGAGACTCGTATCACAGTGTTTATAACTGCTTGGAGGTATTTACAGTAAAAAGTTCGATTGACCATGACCTGTTTTGACCAGATTAGTTGAGTAATATATCCCAAGGCCTTTTAGGGCCTTAAAAACAAACATTCAAATTCAAATTCAATTCTAATATGACTTAAGTGACAGTGAAGGTATAAACCAGGGCTGACATTTTCATGTCTGCATGCACCAGTCAAGAGGCTGCGTTCTGCATGAGCAGGAGACGATTAGAGGAAGACTGTGAACTGTGGACAAAAAGTGTATCGCACTAGTCAATTCTAAGACTAATAAAAGCATGAAGAGACTTTATCAAGGTCAGTTGATTCACAAATGGTGTGACTGTTACTAAAAAGAGAAGTTAGAAGAAGGTGGCTGAAATTACTTTGTCAAATATTAGCTCATTGTCAAAACTCACCCCCAGATTCTAAAATGTAAGAATGTGTATTGTACTGTAAATTGTGCACACACATCCTTTCGATAGTAAAAATAGAAAATTCCCCCGTACTGTTTTTTTCCTGTCTCGTAATTGTCTCTTCATGTCTCAAATCTTTTTAGTTTAAGATTTGAGGCATACAGCACACCCTACTTACAAGTTCACACCCCCTCAGTTTGGACAGATGGCCTTCATGTGTGGATCTTGCATGTCATCATTTTATGTTTTTCTCCATAGTACAAAAACATGATACTTGGGGATTATGATTAGGATCATCTGGAGACTTAATAATACCTTAGTAATCACTTATGTAACTGCATGCACATTAGTATTTATCTTAATACTAATTTTCCTGTAAGGGAAATTAATTTCCCCAAATGTATTCTGTGACTGGCATACGTTCCCATGAGGATAAAGACTAAAAATATGAAGTAATAAAACTTAAAAAATACCTTGTTTGGTAAAGTAAATTATCTTTGTCTCCAGAGTGAACAGTTACTACTATGTACACACTGATATCCACAGGATTGTCTCTGGAATGTTGGGAGAAACCAACGTCACCAAAACCGAGTTAAACAAACAGAAAAAGAACATGCAAACATACAGAATATTGCTGCAACAATGGGCCTTGCTGTGAGGTGACACAGTACAATGTGCTTCAGTTTTGCTTTTTCTGCTGTGACAATACACCACTACACAGAGACTTATTATTATTATTTTGCATTACACTGTAACTAAAACTACCACCTATATTGTAGGTATTTTTTTAACCAAAACCAGTCAACAAAGCCATTTTCTTCATTTCACAATGTTTATGACTTAATCTTAGGTAGTTAGTTGGGTAATTAACCACCAACTACCCTATTTCCATCAATGACCCCTCCCCCCAGCCTAAAATAAACATTGGACATCCCTGTGATTATAACAAAGATCAAGTACTCATCTCAGCTGAATATAATATTTTCATCTCCATTTTATAAACGGAAAATATGTAGTCTGACTAATAAAGTATTCCAAGCTACATTTTTAAGTGTCGTTTGATAAACAAAAAAGCAGCCGTTGTTGTGCAAGACGTATCGTTTTTCAACCACACGAATCCAAAACTTAATTTACCTACGTCACTCTTGCCGTGTACATCACGCTTTGAATGTTACGTCACAGCACCGTGCGTAAAGTCTCGCGGAGTCAAACACCGGCCATTTTTCTCCGTGAACAGCAGGAGACTTTGTGCCTGGCCCACGGTTTACCCGACATCACTTTGTCAGGCTACAAGTTTTTGGCAACTCCTTATCTGACATCTATGCATCCAAGCAGGTGACGGACTGGAAGGAAATCATGTCTCCGGGCTGCACGGCAAAGTTTTTCCGCTGACACGCGGCTGTCTGGATAGATGCTTGTATAAACTGTCGCACTAATGGAAATGGTGCCCAGCGAGGAGAACCAGTTCGTATCCAAAGAGGTGAGGCTCCGGTTGTGATGGACTCTGCCAAGGTTAGGGGATTCGGTGTCATCGGTCAGCTGTTTTATTATCAGACCACGCTCATTAACCACGCAGTACAGTAACTTTTACTGCACTTTGTTCGGTTGTGCTTTCAGTTTTGTTACGTCGAGGCTAACTCTCAGTCGCTAACAGATAGCTGAACATTATTGGACTTGGCCTATGATGACAAGGCTAGTCAGCACTAGCTCCAGCGTCAGTTAACGGCTCATTTCGCTACATCTTTTACCATTATTTATCATTGCCACACATTCAAACTCCACTGCTATTATTATTATTATCTCCTAGAATTATTGCTTTAATTCAAAAGCACAGTACGCTTGTGACCTTTTAAATGTAACGACTGACATTAAGTTAACATTTCAAACAGAGACGACATTTGTCAACATAACATTAGCTGGTAGGTTTGGGTTAGCAAATGTCGCTAGCTGTGTAAGTCAAATTAGTGAGAACAACTCGGCGTAATTACATTGTATTTAAGTTGCTTGAGAAATATTAGTTGTCACACAGGTGGACACAAAAACAAAAGCGTGAAAGCAGTTTTTATACACGGTTTTTCACAAACTTCTGCCCCATCGCTAATTCCTTTTAATCGACTTGTAGCTTTGTGGTTGTACACAATAATGTTTCAATAAAGAGAAGCATTCGTCATTTCAACGATCCAACGCGTATATTGGTTCCTGTCAATCCCCAAAGATGTGGTGTATGGCATAATTATTTCGTTTGAATGTTGTCTTCTGGTTTTTGGACGAGCATCAGTTAACATCCCATAGTCGTTGCGTGTTTGCGTCAGCTAACGTAATAGCTGGGTAAAATAATCTGCAAATCCGTGGTGTCCTCTTTTCACTTATGCACCAATCGCCAGTCAACTCGTCTTCCTGTTTAAGTGTTTATTTTGCAATTAGTAGCTCCTTAGAGTTGTGTCGTTTCATAGGCAAACGGGAGTGTTAAATTTGATTTGTGCTGTTGGAGTAGTATGTGGTTGTATTTACGACACCACTGTGTCACGACAGTGAACGTCACTTGAAAATTGGATGAGCTAGTGTAGTGACATATACTCGGAGTGGGTTTTTTAAATAGCTATTATGACAAATTAAAACATTAATTGGCCAAATAACTAGCTTTTAGTCTCGAAGATGATGCGATACTTTTTTTAAAATCTAAGTCGTATTTTTCAGTCGCATATTAAAGATGAATATGTTTTAAAATTCTAACATAACTAAATTTTGACGCTAAAACCTTAGCTTCCACGCAACAATGTTTCACAGGGAAAGGATCTTTCTTCACTAATGTTTTTAACTTTATCATCAGTGTGCAGATTAGTGAAAGGATGATTTACACAACATGATTGGGTAAGTAAACATAGTAGTGGGGTCAATACATAAAGAAAGGGGAGGAGGAATAGGTTTATAATATGTATTACACAATGTTTGTGCATGTTTTATAAATACATAACAAAAAAGATTTGTATTAACATTGCTGTAATACATGTTAAATTTTAAGGATTTTTATAACAAGAAAATGAATGTAAAAGTACATACTGTTGTGACCACTGGCCTTTACAGAATCAAGTTATTATTTGAAAGTGAGCAAAGTCAGATTTTTGTAGCCTTATACTCAAGTGTATGATTAATCAATAATCAGGAACAGAACAAAAGGTTAAATCACCTTGGCCTTTTTATTTGTTGTTCTAAGAACCAACACTTTGCTACCATGGTGAAGTAAATTTTACTCTCAACAATCTTCAATGGACTCTGACAAGTCCCAAGAGAATTTCAAAGCATACTGTGGTTTTATGAATTGATGGTCAAGGTCTTCTGCACAAAGACATGGGTTTCAATAAGGTCTGTATATACTGTGGTAAGCCAAGAAACTTTGGTGTTGTAGATAAAGGTTTTTATTAGGGTTATAGTTGTTTATTATGAACAGCTAAAGCTTTCCAGCTGTCTTTTCAGCTCAAATCGAGGTACATGGACAGATGTGTTCTTAATAAAAGAAATTCAGATAAAAGGTCAAGTCTCAGCTATGGAAACATGGACAAACAATTCAATGACAACAGGTGCTGTAAACTGTTGATATAATAATAATAATAAATGACAGAAAAAAATCAACCTTTAAATCTTATAGTACTCTTAGGTTGTCAGCTTCCTTTTTTGTATAGTCTAACGTAATTGTAATATTACAAACCTCACAAAGGTGTTGCAGTAACGGGAGTGGGTGTACTGCAGTAGTAATGACCCTGTCATCACAAGTTCAGAGGTTGGTTTGTCAACTTAGTCATAGCAGGAGTAAGCCTGCAAGGTAGCTTGTTTTAGCCTCATTATGTGTTTAAAGTTGCATAGTTCAGGTGTCTTAGCATTGTTAAATGAGAACAAATGATTTTGTATATAAAAAATGTTTGGTGGGAAAAGCTCCTACTAAATTATAGTGATCTATAGATGCCGAAACAATGTTTTTGAAATGATTATGTCGAAATAAAAATCTAAAGTACACCTCAGAGGTGTCTAAATGGCTCTACTATCTGAGACTTCCATATAAAATACTGCCAGAAAGTTTGGTTACCCTGCAGGAGCAGCGTCTTCACGCCTTCCACTAGCAGTCTGTCTTAAGTTCCGTGAAACCACACTATAATAGAGGCTATTCACTTATAGCAGGAAATGATGCAGGAGAAATTGGTGTACTGTACTGTAAAGTAAGCTGACATGCAGGAATATATTCTATGTCTGCTGCTCGTTCCATCCGCTACTGTGATATTCTATGCTTTTGACCTACAGTACAAGACACATTACGGCTGTGCTGATATTCAGGACAGTAGAACCTCTTCTATGGCTTAAGGACACACAGTGACAAATTGCGTTATTCAATTTAAAGGACATGGAATACAACTCACTTTGAATTGTAATTTTAATCTACGTCTTGTGGGGATCTCAACATGAAAATTTAGACAAATTAAGACACACATTGAGTCCCTTTTTGAAGTGTTTCCACTAATATGTACATACATCCAGTTAAGAATCTGTGGGTAAAATAAAACCCCTGTACTGAGGATGAATATTGTGGCTCATCTGTTCATTTTGATTACTTTAGATCCAAAATGCAGCCGAGGAGCCCAGAGTGCTGTGCATAATCCAGGACACCACCAGAGCAAAGACCATCAATGAGAGGCTGACCCTAAATCTGCCCGCTTCCACGACCCTCTCCAGACTCCATGAAGATGTAGCACGCAAAGCAGGATATGTCAGTGGCACCTTTGACCTTGTCTGGGGTCACGCACCAGATATGGTAAGGATGGTTAAGCATCCATTCATCCATCTGTTATCTGCCAGGTTGCAGGTATGCTGAAGCCAATCCCAGTTATCAACAGGCAGATACACCCTTGCGATGGATTGGCAAACTACAGTATAGAGACAGTATAGAGACATGCTATGAATGTGACATGCTCACATTCATACCTGTGGTAGGGTATTTAGAGTGTCAACCTACTCCCCTAATGCACATGTCACTGGGCTGGGGGAGGTGCACAGAGGAAACCAGCACACACAAATAAATCCATACAGAAATTGGATTACTATAAAGGCACACAATGGCAACATTTGCCATTGTGTGCCTCTGTGAAGCATTGAAGTCTAGTTAGAGTTAGGCCCAGTTGGGCTGACCTGTGGGGAAAAAAACACAGCCCTTTAGCACCTGAATGTTTAACCCTCACGTTGTCTTTCGCATTGTTGTACTTAAGTATATGAGGAAAAGTTGGCACGGTACAGGAGCATGCACACGCACACAAACTCACACATAATTAATTTTTACATTATTTTTGTATTTATTATATAAACTACCAAACACCTTTCAGCACCAACGAATGAAACAGTGTGACCATAAATTAAATTTTTTTGGTGATCAATAGAGTGCTTCCTTCTAATGGACCACACTTGTTTCAGTGTCTTTGTTTGCACCTTCTGTTGGTCACAGTCCAAACTGATATTTGCCTCTGTTCCCTTCTCCACAATTAAAAGAATGAAAAATGTTCTTTATTGTGCTCTGTCAGAGATTGTTTTGCCTAGTTACATAAGGTCCAACTTGTATCTTTCTGTAATGATGCCAAGCTAATCCTGCTGCTGACCCAGGCCAAAGCCCAGGTGCCTGTTGTTATCTCACTGAGTAGGTCAGTGGATTAAGCCTCTTCATGTTTCCACTGAAGCACTTAGCTGGCACTTCATCGGCCTGATGAGAGAAAGACGGGTCTGGGCGGTTGTTTACATGTTGGATTGGGGCTGCCTTCCTCGTACACAACACAGAGAACATGCTAAAAATAAATTAAATGGCTGTGTTAGTGAACTTGTGTTAGTTCCGCCAGTTTCTAAATAACACCCACTGAAGCTTGTCATCCTTCGATGTCTCTCCAGTGCTTTAATCCATGTGACGGTCTCTTCTTTCCCTTCAGCCACCTTTGGATCATAATGGTGCGATGTCCCTCTCTGATTCTGGGTTTGAGTCTGGCGGTAAGAGAAATTTTCTCCATCTGACAGACAAAGATGGAGAGCAGCCACAGAATGCACCAGTGAGTGTTTTTCATGATTTCTCAGATTAAGATTATGTTGTGTTGTTTTATTATACAAACATATTTTACGGTCTAAGTTATTGAATTGTGTGTTTTGCAGGATGAGTCAGCCACAGCTGAAGGCAGTGGACTTGATGACACTTCTCAGGAACGCTTCATTGGGCCACTACCCAGAGAATGCACTCCAGGCTGCAGCGGTGATTACAGCAGTTCATCCTACTCCTACTCATCCATACTCAACAAATCAGACACTGGTCCGTTTTGGTCTGTTTTTACATAGGTTATGTGTCATCAACCCTTTTGCACGACCTACTTGACTTCTTTCTTCTTGTCTTTTTCTGCTGCTGTAGGTTATGTGGGTCTGGTGAACCAGGCTATGACCTGCTATCTGAACAGTCTTCTACAAACACTGTTCATGACCCCTGAGTTCAGAAATGCCCTCTACAAGTGAGGAAAACATAACATTACTTCTCAGTTTGGTCACTGTACTGTGTCTTATCAGTTGTAACACCATTTCTGTGCAACATCAGCTGGGAGTTTGAGGAGTCAGAGGAGGACCCAGTCACCAGCATCCCATTTCAGCTCCAGCGGTTGTTTGTCCTGCTACAGACCAGTAAAAAGCGCGCCATAGAAACCACTGACGTGACACGAAGCTTTGGCTGGGATAGCAGTGAGGGTGAGCAGCTGTAGCTTTGTTTGTAAGGTGATTATGCCTGTACATGTGTAAAATAAACTTCTAAATTTCTGTTTTCAGCTTGGCAGCAGCATGATATCCAGGAGCTGTGCAGAGTGATGTTTGATGCTCTCGAGCAAAAGTGGAAGCAGACGGAACAGGTTAGGAGAAACCAAAGCTTTTTTTTCTTAGACTTTGGACGACAAATTCTGACAAGCATGTCTGATCACACTAACATGAGAAACAAAGACCTACTGTGGTAAGAAATACATGTGGCTGGTTCATTCAGCCTTAGGTTTTCTTCTCTTGTGCATAAAAGAGAAAACCTAGACTGTGACTATGCCTTGTTCCCTCAACAATAGCATGCTGTTCCATAACGTTAAAACATGTCTGAGCTCCATTAAAAAGTAATAAATCAAATGATAAAAGTATTATATTTATCTTTAGGTCACAGTCACGTATAGTATTTGAAAGATGACTAAGTAAAAAAAACTCGACCAGGTCGACCGGTTTGATCATATTCAGGAAGTGTTATTAAATAAAACACAAAAGACGTGCTGAATGTAGCTCAGTTGAGGCGGTTGTTAGCTTTAACGGCACCACATGATGGCACAAACCTTCACATCTACAATCTAAAATCAAATCAAACCTGTTTTCCATAACAGGGCCATCTTATGTTTTATTGTTTTGACTTCGGGCCTCTGCTAGCTCAGACCAGAACTTTAATTAATTCTCTAATCAAACTGGCAAAAATAAATTATCCAAAAAACCTGCATTGTTTCAAGTGTAACATGGCCTAAGATGCCCTGACTGTTATGGGGCCCTGTCCTCAGGCTGATCTGATAAACCAGCTGTACCAGGGGAAGCTAAAGGATTATGTCAGGTGTCTGGAGTGTGGTTACGAAAGCTTGAGGATTGATACCTACCTGGACATCCCTCTTGTGATCAGACCGTTTGGAGGCAGCCAGGCTTATGGCAGTGTGGTGAGTTTCTAGATTTCACTCCTTTAAAATATTTAGTGTTCTGGCAGCAAGGACTCCAACAGCACTTAATGCTTTGTACTATGGGCGTACAACATGCTATTTAAAGGCTGCTGTAAGTGCAGCACTTACAGCTCATGTACATGCAGTCAGTGTTGTTTTAGTGTTTCCTGTGCACGAACCTATAGAGTGTAATTTGTCTGATGCAGGAAGAAGCTTTGCAGGCATTCATCCAACCAGAAACCCTGGATGGGCCCAACCAGTATTTCTGTGAACGCTGCAAAAAGAAATGTGATGCTCGAAAGGTGAACGGACTGAAAATGTGACATGTTTTGATAATGGTTTTCTTCTGTTGTGTTGTCTGAGCCTCTGGTTACTGCTTTTTGACACAGGGTCTACGATTTCTGCACTTTCCGTACCTGCTGACGCTACAGCTGAAACGGTTTGATTTTGACTACACCACTATGCACCGCATTAAGCTGAATGACAGCATGACTTTCCCCGAAGAGCTGGACATGAGTCCATTCATCGATGTGGAAGATGAGGTTAGCGCCACATTACTTTTATCACTGTTCAGACACACATTAGAAATATAAACCTTAGATGTATTATATATCCAAACCCAAGATAATCCTTTATGTTTCCCAACTCAACAAATTATTCTATGTAGTTTATATCTATGTGGTCTATAAGAATGATATATGTATTTAGGGCTGGTATTACACTACACCCAGTTAGTTTTCTGTGATGTTGGTGTTGCATAAATGTTAAATTAAACATTACTTCAAATATTCAATAGCCTTTTACTAACCAATTTCCAGAAAGTTTGTTTTGTATATTGTCATGATTTTTAAATTATTTTTTGTTTTTTGCCCTCCTGTTTGAACTATTGTCTTCTATTTTCAGAAGTCTCCTCAGACAGACAGTTGCACTGACAGTGGAGCAGAGAATGAAGGCAGCTGTCACAGCGACCAGATGAGCAATGACTTTTCCACTGATGACTGTGTGGATGAAGGCATCTGCCTGGACAGTACTGGCAGCACAGAGAGAGTCCTGAAACCAAAGGTGATCACCCAGAACACTCTCATCTAAATAATAAAACCTTTCATTTTCTTATTTGCACCGTCATCCTTAACAATAATGTTACCATAGTAATGTTCCTGTCCCATGTTCCTGTAATTTGATCAACTGTGTGTGTGATCCTGAAGTTGTCACCATCTGAGCTTTGTTTTAGTATTTGAAAAAAAAATTATTGTAGATAGAAGTTGAGTAAAGTCTATTGTACAATTTTCTTTAGTCTAAAAAAAGTTTTCCAAATATTAATTCTCAGAGTTTGCTGACCTTTGAGCTGTTCTCCGTCATGGTCCACTCTGGCAGTGCTGCAGGCGGCCATTACTACGCCTGCATCAAATCCTTCAGTGATGGCCAGTGGTACAGTTTCAATGATCAGCACGTCAGCAAGGTCAGCTGATGCCCTCCAGTACAATGACTTCAGGAAATACATATTTTTCTCCTGTAACTATCTTCTGAGTCTATCTGAGTAGTCAATTTATGTTCCCCTGATGTATTTGCATTTGTCAGATCACGCAAGACGACATCAGAAAGACTTATGGGGGATCGTCAGTAAGCAGAGGCTATTATTCTAGTGCCTTCGCCAGGTCAGTGTCTAAACAGAATATAATTATACACTAATAAACTTGTATGTTTCCTAGACATTAACACATTTTATTTTCACTTCAACAGCTCTACAAATGCGTATATGCTGATTTATAGATTGAAAGACCCGACAAGGAATGCAAGTAAGAAGATATATCTCTTTTAAGAACTTGCTATACAGCGTATAAATCGTCAAATCGTCAAAATAAAATTTCCACCAAATCGTCAAAATAAAATTTCTACCAGACCAAACTTAGGGCTTATTCTATCTCCTTATTCGTATACTGTCATTTTACCATAAAGAAAAATTCTCTCTCACCACAAAGGGTTCTCAAACATCTTCTTAAACTGATGGCTACAGGTCAAACAGCATTCCACTAACCTAATAACAGGCTTTAAAATAATGAGAGAAGCCAAGGATTTTAATCCCTCTTTTCACTCATTACTCTTTGTGTTAATGTAGCAGTTTTGTTACACTTCACACATCGGTGAATCCCTGTGTTTGAGTAGCATATTCACTAATTATGTGACAAGTTTGCATTTTAATTCTGTTGTATTTCACACTTTCCAGACAAGTTAGATATGTGGGACATATGCAATCTGTCTTTTGGTGTTGCTTTATGAATTATATTTTATTAACATTTCTACATGACTGAATTTTGATCATCATGCCCAGTGGGAGGTAGAACAATCAAAAATCTCGTCCTGTATTTTACTCTAATGTCTACACTGTTTGTCTGCAGAGTATTTAGCGGTAGAAGACTTTCCTGAGCACATAAAACGTTTGGTTCAGAAAGAGAAAGAATTTGAGGAGCATGAAAAAAGACAGAGGGAGATTGAGCGCAATACCTGCAAGGTTTGTTTGCCTTTCTGTATATAGATTAATTGTTTTATATATATATCAATTGATATGTTTTTTGTTTGTTTCAGTTCTTTGTATTTCACTCTTGTTCTTTTTATCTCCAGATCAAGCTTTTTTGCTTGCATCCTGTAAAGACAATGATGGAGAGCAAACTGGAAGTTCACAAAGATAAAACACTCAGAGAAGCGACAGAGATGGCCTACAATGTGTGTTTACTATTTTTTACCACTTATCTAGTGTTTATTTGGTGTTAGTATTGTCAAACCCACGGTTTATATTCTTAAATTAAAAAGAATATGGTGCTTTTATTACTATAACTTTTCTCTCTGTATCTTAGCTGATGGAACTGAAAGGAGTTGTCCCTCTGGACTGCTGTCGATTGGTTAAGTACGACGAGTTCCACGAATACCTGGAGAGATCCTACGAAGGCGAGGAAGACACGCCCATGGGTCTGCTCCTCGGAGGGGTCAAGTCCTCGTACATGTTTGACCTGCTGCTTGAGACTCGCCGGCCAGAGCAAACGTTTCAGCCTTACAAACCTGGAGGTCAGTTACCTGCTATGTCATGGTCAAAATGTTTTTAGTTTGTTGTATGTGATGGAAGAAATGATTCAGTCTTTGTGGAGATCTTGTTTGTGGTTGTCAATCAGATGTAAGATTACAGTCAAAACTTACCCATTGTAGTGAGGTAATAAGCTGCTTTTCTAAATTTTCTACAGAGGTGATGGTGAAGGTTCATGTTGTGGATCTGAAGTGTGAGACCATTGGCCCTCCAATCAGTGTTCGCGCCTACTTGAACCAGACAATCACTGAATTCAAACAACTTATTGCACAGGTTTTTGCAGCTCTTTATTCCACACTGCCACTCAGTGTCGTTTTATCTTGAATCTGTGATTACTGTTGTCTCATGTATGTTTTTATCTCCAGTCTACAGGGCTGTCTGCAGAGACCATGCGTGTGGTCCTTGAGCGCTGCTATAATGACCTCCGGCTGCTGTATGTTCCAAACAAGACCTTGAAAGCGGAAGGATTCTTCAGGAGTAACAAGGTAACACCAGGAGTAACACCAATAGTTTCTTCTAATTTGATTGCTATAAGCTACAATGAACATTTAAAAAAAAATCAGTAATTATTTATAATTTTTTCCTTCTTTGTCACCCTTTTCCAATAGGTTTTCGTTGAGAGCTCTGAGTCGAGTGATCATCAGGTTGCGTTCACTGACTCAGTTTTGTGGAAACTGTTGGATCGTCACGGGAATACGATCAGGCTTTTGGTCTTATTGCCTGAACAGTCACCTGGTACCTTGGCTAACAGAACTCTTTGCCAAAAGACAGCAGGCGACTCTGATATTTCCTTAGATGGCTCCAAAGCAAACAGGAAGTCTGTGGAGGCCATACTTGAGGAAAGCACAGAAAAGTTAAAGAATCTGTCTTTGCAGCAGCAGCAGCAGCAACAGAGCTCCAGCACCAGCGACAGCCAGAAAAGCTCAGACACTAGTGACTTTGAACATATTGAATCTCCAACACAAGAGGCAGACTCGAACTCGTCAATGTGCGTGGCCGCAGACAACAGAGAGCTGGAGAACAGGATCAGGACCACGGCTGGGAGCAGTGGAGGAACAATCTCTGACCCAGAGAACCAGTTTGCCTGTGAGGAGCGTTCAGACTCTGAGGTAAACAACGACCGCAGCACCAGCTCTGTGGACAGTGACATCCTCAGCTCCAGCCACAGCAGTGACACACTGTGTAACGCAGACAGTGGGGCAATACAGTTGGCCAATGGCCTGGACTCTCACAGCATCACAAGCAGCCGTCGCTCCAAAGCCCACGAGGGTAAAAAGGAGACGTGGGACACTGCTGAAGAAGACTCTGGAACAGACAGCGAATATGACGACAACGGGAAGAGCAAAGCAGAGACTCAGTACATGTACTTCAGAGCAGAGCCTGGTTCCCAAGATGACTCCTCCTGGAATGCACAAAAATGTACTAGTCATTCCCTCATCCCTCAGATTTGTTTTTTTTTTTCTTTTTAGAAAACAAATCACCAATCCCTTATTCATTAGGTGTTACCTGCTCTGTTGTTACAAACCTGTTCAATATTCTATTTCCTGTTTCCTTTAGGTTTGGTGGTTCATGTGGACAAGAGAATAACATTAGCAGCATTCAAACAGAACCTTGAACCCTACGTCGGTGTGACCTCCACCCAGTTCAAAGTTTTTCGAGTGTATGCCAACAACCAGGAGTTTGAGAGTGTACGGCTCAGTGAAACTCTCTCATCCTTCTCTGATGACAACAAGGTCAGCACATACCAGAAGTGTTTGAATTGGGCACTTTTCTGTGTGAAACAACTAAATATGTTTTATTGTTCCATAGATAACAATACGACTAGGAAGAGCACTGAAAAAGGGAGAATACAGAGTGAAAGTGTATCAGCTGTTAGTGGGTGAAGCTGAGGTGAGAACATTTTCCTCCACATATCTTATCTTAATGTTCACTCATTATAAACCTGGTGCTGTCAGAATTGGGGTATTATAACAGTAACTCCCCCCCTCCCCGCCCCACAGCCCTGTAAGTTCCTTGTAGATACGGTATTTGCAAAGGGTATGACTGTGAGACAGTCCAAAGAAGAGCTGCTTCCTCAGCTAAAAGAGCAGTGCAAACTGGACCTCAGCATTGATAGGTAAGACTTTAAAATGACACAACATTTATGTGAGATGATGTTTACAGCAAATCTAGAAATAACATTTCATAATTACTGCCCATGGCTTAAAAACTTCAAATCAATGTTTTACTGAAGTGCAACTTTGTGTTCATTAAAAATGGACATGATTTCTTTCTAAAGTGAATGTGTTTGATCAGGGTTCGTCTCAGGAAAAAAACATGGAAAAACCCAGGAACAGTGTTTCTGGATTACCATGTCTATGAGGAAGACATCAGCATATCCTCCAACTGGGAAGTTTTCCTTGAAGTTCTTAATGGTAAAAAACTGACTCTGACTTCCAAACTTTTTTTTCATCCCAGAGCTGCTTTGCCAGCAATTAGTCATTTGCATGGGTATTTTGTACAATGTACTTTTCACACTATGCTTTGTTATTGTTAAATTACATAGTTTGCATCTTTGGAAACAAAACAAAATACTATTAAGTACAAACTTTGTAACTGTACACTTTTTTCACAGCCTGCTTAATGTTTAATTCTTGTTCAGGTACAGTAGAAGGACGGTAAATCTGGAGATCATCTTTTGTTCATGTTTTGTTTTTAGAACCAGAGAAAATGAAGTCCATGTCACAGTTAGCTGTTCTGACCCGGCGATGGAGCCCATCAACGATGAAGCTGGGGTCTTTTCAGGAAGTAATTCTGGAGAGCAGCAGTGTAGAAGAACTGAAAGAAAAGGTAATGTTGTCTTTTTGCTGCCCTTGTTTTTTTATTATAATAATAAAAGTCATAGAAAATATAATACCTGTATGTTTTGATCGACTTGTGATAGTTTTATATATTTGGCCATTTATAACCAACTTTGATTTACTTCAATACAGCTCAGTGAGAAGAGTGGCATTCCTCTGGAAAACCTAGAATTTGCAAAGGTTGGTAAGGTCTTCACTAACTCAAACACAGCATTATTTTTTATGTTCCTTTAAAAACAAAAAAATCTGCTACATTTTCTCTCTGCTGTATTCAGGGTAGAGGAACGTTTCCTTGTGATATTTCTGTGCTGGAGATTCATCAGGATTTGGACTGGAATCCTAAAGTGACCACTCTCAATGTGTGGCCTCTGTACATCTGCGACGATGGAGCTGTAGTCTACTACAGGTAACACAAGAGAACCATATGTCCATGTGTTGTCTGTTGAAAACGGAATATGTAGTATCTGTGCTGTAGGATTAGAACTGATTATATCTTTTCCATTGTCTTGTCAACTGCACAGGGACAGCACAGAGGAGCTGATGGAGCTGTCAGAAGATGAACGCAATGAGTTGATGAAAAAGGAGAGCAGCCGTCTACTGAAAACTGGACACAAAGTCAGCTACTCTCCACGCAAAGAGAAAGCACTGAAGATCTACCTGGACGGAGGCCCAGCCAAGGACCCGGGGCAGGACTGAGGTGCAGGGAACCCCTTCTGGTCACGTGGTTCATCCAGCTGCTGTAGCATAGCATCTGGCCTCTGGCTCTCACTGCTTGAAGTGTCAGACCTGGTAGTGACTTGAACCTCAAGCGTCACTGTGAGATGTGACGTGAATCTCGGCCTCCTCTCTGAGCCCACAGACTGGTTCAGAATCCTTATTGTGCACTATAGTGTAAGTTTAAAGGGAAGCACAAACGCTATTCAATACAGATAAAGAATCCAATAATGTACACAAGAATCAGATTGAAGCATAGAGAGTTGGTTGCAGAGATGTGGGTACCATTGTAGTCCATTTCCCCCTGCATCACTGTCCTCTCCATCACTGTGTCCAAATTGTCACAGTTTTTGGCATCATGTTGACTTGATTCATTCGTGGTCATCAAACCCACGCTCTTACACTGTTTCCTGACAGTTCGTACAAACCAGAGCTACGCCTGAGGCCCCGTCTCTTTATCTTGCTATATAAACCTCACTGTTGAATTTACAAACAGCTAAGATGTTTATAAAAGGTTTATTGAATTAAAAAAAGCAACAATTAACAATTTGTAAGCTAGGGATCTGTTTTTCTTCCACGAACTCTCTGCCTGTACCAGAGTAATGAGCTCTTCTTGGTTCTCTCTGCTGCTGCTCTGTAGCTTTGCTTCTAAAATGTCACTTCCATTAGCTCTAAGAAGATCTTCAGGACTGTTGGTCCACAAATAACAAATGACATTATTTTTGTTTGTTGTAAATTATAATTTTGCTGCAAACCTGTTTGTGCAGTTAGGACTGATCTGGCACCAGGTACGCATCTGTTGTCCACGTTAAGCTTTTATTTTCACAGCGTTTTCCTGTGTCTGATTTTGTTGCATCATGTGAGCTGACTGTACATTTTCTGGTATCAGCCACATGTCTGTATGTATGTGTTGGTATTGTGAGGAGGGAGGAAGCCCTCTGGATTTTTGGCAGAGGTCACGAGCTTGTGTTTTGGCGCATCTACCTGTTGCTGCTTGAACGACGGACATTAGAGGGCGCTGAAGTGCCCTTTTTGTCTGCCTAAGTGACTGCTTTGAGGACAGAAGCTCAGCATCATGATGCTGTCACCAGCTAATCACTGTAGAAATGCCAATAACTGAAGAGACTCTTCTTTTTTTGATCTTAATTTCTCTGAATCATGTGTGGAAAATAGTTTAAAAGATTTTAGAAATGAATAAAAGATTTTTTTCACAAGTTTTACTGTTGATGTTTTAATAAATCATTATAATTCGATTCAGATGTGATGAGTTCATGTTGCGTTGCTAGACTTCTAATTCAATTTATCCATTTTAAAAGCATTTAATAATTCAGATACACATTTGCTTTTATTTTACTGACAAACTATTAATTTACCAACAAGGTGATGTCAAAGGTGCAGGAAGCCTTTTTTTAACCTTAGTATCTTTAAACCAAAGTCTAAGTCTCCTTGAATCCACAGAGGATTTTAAATCAAATTACATGAGGGTTTTCAGTAACCCATTGTTCTAATGATAACAAGCAGAGTGAATGAATCCAAGACACCAGGGATCACAGTGTTAGACATTTATAGGCCTCTGGTTAGGAGTCAGGTATTTATTAAGTATTGCAACAGAATATCCAAGTAATAAAGTAATCAGCAGAAGGCAGTTGACCCTTTTACTTGCATCTCACCTTTTCTTTCTCCTTTAGCTTCAGGTGTTACTAAATATTTCTTATAATAATATTCAAAGTGGATTTAAAGGCACAGTCCTCCATTACCTAATTCATTCACTGATCATCTTCTATGGTCTAAAAATACTGTAATAATTTGCCTTCGTTTGTCTCTGTGACAGTGACAGGCAGAGCAATTCAACACATGTTCACTAGTGGGCAGCAGAAGGCTGTGGAAACTAAAACAAAGAAGAAAAGAAAAAAAAGAACTTTGTATATCTTTCTTCAATTCCTGCAAATATTTCAGCTATGTGTTCAACTAAACAGGCCAAGATTTCCCATTGAGTAAGGAAATGGTGAATAAAGTTAAACTAGAAAATCATCACATGTACTTTTCTTTTTCTGGTGTGTCGTGGGATTCTTTTAATGTGTAAAAGGAAAGATGTGAGCAAATACTTAAATACTTAAATCACATATTACTGTAGATATACTGTATATATTTAAAGATACTGTTAAAATATTAATAGAAATATGTTTTTTTTGATTGACACAACCTCGTTTCATGTTCAATAGTCCCCCCTCAATCTAAACTAGAAACCTTGCAACCTACAGTAACTAGTGCAGGTAAGAGGTTATACAGTGTTCTTAGTCATTTATTTTTCATGGTTTTACTCCTTTATGGTTATGAAATTCATTTGGGGAAAGTTAAAAGTGCTAAACAGTAACTATTCAAAGTGCAGCTCTGGGGTCAGTAGCAGAATGCACTACAGCTTCAAGGCAAAGAGAATCGGAGCAAACTGCTTTGTCTAGATGATATAGTCGATCTCTGAGTAAAGTGTGTCTTCCAGCTCCTCCTCACTGGAGCCTTCTCCTCTCAGACACATGGACCCTCTCCTGCAAGAAAGGAGGAGCACAGCAGTGGAGCATCAGGAGTAAAAAAGAACCCTCTGTCTATTACATTTACATAAGAGATCCTACCCCAGGTGCTGGCAGTGCAGATCCCCTGCACAGGGGCAATGTTTCCTGGGTTCATTCTTCCTAATGTTCCAGTTCAACAGCTCCATCAGGTGGTTGGAGGCTCCAAAGCAGCGCTCTCGCTCAATGGGTTTGGCCAAACAGACAGAGAAGTGCAGTGCTACAAACACACATACACACACAGAGATGACTTACCTGTTGATTGTATGGTGTAGTGCACTGTTTGTTCCGTATCATACCTTGATGGTAAGCACAGCAGAGTTCTGGCCTGCACTCAGACTGGTACTCACAGGTGCTGCCTGCTTCTCCTTTGGTTGCATTTTGGCTGCATTGACCCCATACACACAGCTGATCACCACAGCATTCCTTATCTTTAGTGCAGGGCTAAAATGAAGAGATATTTGTATTTATTTATTAGTATTTTTATTATTTTAGTGCTTGCTTAACACATCAAACGTCTTGGATTCAAACCAACACTAAAAGATCCCTTCATGAGTGGAGAGTTGAATCACTAAAATTACAAACCTCACAATGACATGATATGAGATGATATGATATAACACACATTGTGTCCTCTGTCTCTTCATTCATACTGCTGTCTCTTGTGGACCGCCAACGTCTTGTTTTACACTGCTACCTAAAGACTATGTCATTGAGCTTATAAAAAAAACCCAATTGTCCTAAACACTGTCTGAAATCAGTGTCTCACTTTGTCCTGTAACACAGCAGGAAAGTACAGAGTTCTTTGTTCACCTTGTCACTAACTGTCCTGTCATGTGAAGCTCACAGGAACATGTTCTCCTACAGCAACACACTCCGGTTACACTTGTGGAAACACTGCAATGCAGTTGAAGTGAGACCTCAGCTGCTGCTGCTGGTCGTGTGTGTGTGTGTGTGCGCGCGCGTGTGTGCCTTTTTTTAGAGAACATTAATCACATAAATAGCTCTTAAAAGCAGTCTTAACTGTACCTACCACATCTATGGCTTTGCAGGACATGCACTCAGAGCCGTGCACAGCATTGAAGCAGTATCTGTCTTTCCCACAGTCGTCGTCAGTGATGCAGCTCTGAAAGACAAACAGAGAATTTGCTTCATCCGTGTTTTAACTCTTACAATCCTTGCTCACAATGACTGTGCAATTTACAGCACACTGCATACATATACTGTATAGCTGCACTGGACATTACACTGTAGATCAGTTTACAGTAAGCAGGATGTACTGTGACTAATGTTTAGATGAGCTTCAATATATTATTGATATATATTGTTCAAATCTGTATGAAAGATGAGGGAAAACACAATTCTAAGAATTAGTAAAACATAAGAAAAGGTTTTTTAAACAAATATATCCAAGGTATGACAAACAAGTCAGCTTAAAACATTGCTAAAAGGTAAACCAGCAACTACTAGCAAACCAGAGAGTAAATATAATTGAAGTATACAAAAAAAAACGCACTGTGAAAATCAATTAAAAAATCCTGCTCAAGGTCAGTTCTGAAAAGTAAAAATAAGAAGCAAAGGGACAAAGACTAAAACAGAAAGAAAAACAAATATTGCTAAAGCTCCAATATTATACATTTGTCCAGTAGGCTAAACTGCATTACCAAAACATTACGAAAATATAGATTCTACTCAATAATACTGCTGTAGTGTCATTATAATCTTAGGATGAATTTTAGGACAAATTCTGGGAAAAACAACAACAACAAAAATAAATAAATAAATAAAAACCTTCCTCCAGTGAACCAGACTTTGGACACACCTGCTTCACATTCAAATCAATGTAATTTCCTAGGTCACTGTCATGATCAGCTGTTGAAGTGATGTTGTTGGTCTCCTGTACAAACATGGGATACTACATTATTATTATTTGAATGGATACTTTGGAAGTAAAGACAATTGTATTTGTCTGTGTGATGAGTCTGTACCTGCTCCAATGAGGTGTGGGGGCCACTGTCAGTCACTTTATCAGAGTTGGATTCATTGAAGTGATCAGGAAGAAGGTCAGGACCAGGACTGACACTGACCATGTCATTCTAAAAATGACACAAAGACACTAAACATGACAACAGACCAGGAGACAGTTTCCTGTGTCAATGCAAACACTATACAGTACAATTAAAGGTACATCTGCTCACATGAAGAAGCGGATGTTCGGGCTCAGACCTCTGCGGATCCTCCTGCAGCTGCTCCACGTCTACGAACTTACGCTCCAGCTCGGTCTCTTCTGCTGAAGGATGTTCCTCCAGGATGTGACTGATTCCCGAGTTGATGATTTCAGGGAGAATCCCATGGCAAACTGCCGTGACAGCGGAGAACAGCAGAATCAGCCGCATCGTTATCGCACTCATCATCCCCACTGCTGCGGCTGACGCTGCTGAAGAGGGACGATGAGGAGGAGGAGGGTGCGGTGCTGCTGGTGCAGCGTCACCACGGCTGGTCCATTCACGTAGGGATAAAGTCACTACAGTTCAAGCTTTCACATTGTGTAAATATCTCGTAAATAATAATAATAATAATAATAATAATAATAATAATAATAATAATAATAATAATAGTTGATCACTTTAACTTAAAATGTTTAGAGGTCAGTTAAAAAAAACATGTAGTGTTACCTAAAAACTAATAAATACGGTACCTTATTTAGGTTGACCGTTGAATGTACATGTACATGAAACCCATATGTCAAACTTCCAGCGTGTAGAAATAGTGCCATCTAATGACGCTCCCTTTCTGCAATTGATAAGTCTGACCAACAGATGGAGACATTTGCTTTCGTATATACAGTACAAACATCTCACGTTTGAAACGTCATCCGAGTAGTTATGTCCAACTGGTAACAGTTCGGAAAACAATAACATCAAGCAGATATAATAGAACTGAAAATAAAGAAAGTTCGTAGATTACACACCTCTCTTATTCCTAAGTGTACCAGAAAAAGTGACGTCCATCACATGACCACAAATACTCTCTAACAGTCTGACAGTTTTGTGTTCATGTCATGTACAATGGCATAAATGGCTTTCAACATGTAATTGTAATTGTGTAATTATAAAAACATACATGTGGTCAAACGGTTAAAAACGCTTTCATGGTCCCTTTTTTGTTGACCATTATGACTTATTATTTTAACCCAAATTAGCCAGATATAAGTGGCCCAAAACATTCAATGGGCCTTTTGACAGGATGTCAAAAATTAAACTGATCTTCTGACAACTTAATTTGTTTTAGGGTTGTGGGTTGATGTTGAGCCAATCGCAGCAGTCACTGGGGCAAGCACAGGGTTTATTTATTTGGAGTGAACAATTAACCTAATTTTGTATGGTTTAGACTGTGGTGTAGGAAACTGGAGGATGAACATGACAACATGTGTTCAGAACAGAACTTTTGGGACAAGCCTTCATAAAGGATGTCCATGCCTAATATGAACTCTGTGTCATCACATGGACATAGGCTCATAGACAGTGAGGTTTAGAGTTGACCACATATGGTTACCATTGCTTACACAGGGGCATCTTTTTTGTGGAACCACCCAACTTCCTCTTTAAACCATTGAGCTCTTCCTCTGTATACACGTATTGCCACAGACACCTTGTGGTGTAAAGTGGAACTACATCGAGTCATAAAAAACATTTCCAGGGGGAGGGGAACCGTTTAAACTGGGGAATTGAAATCATGTCAAGTTAACCACATTGTCTGGGCCCGTCCCCGCTTCCACATCTTGATGCTGTTTAGTGGTGGGCTGTCCTGTCTTTATAATAATGGAGACATTTTGGACCTTCGTTTTTAGGGTTGTATTATCACGGTTTTTAAACTTAACTGAGTTATTTAGCAGCAGCAGTGTGTGAGAAAGCAGCTGCTGAGCAGCAGCGGCAGAAGCAGTTGTGTGACAGAGATATGTGTGAGAGCAGAGCACCGCCCACTCTCTACACACAAACACACACACACACACACACTGGCCGCAGCTGCAGACAGGAGCTGACTGAGTGACTTTTACACACACTGATTGACTGAGAGTCACACACTGACTCCACAACGGCAGACACTGGACTGAAGCGAGGCTGGACCGAGACTCAGAACTGGGGTGAGTTCTTAAACTCTATATGTATATGTTTAAATGAATCGGCTTGTTTGTGGCGGAGACACCTGAGCCGCGTTGAAGTGAACAGCTGTGAGTTTGGGTCTGAGACAAGGTGAGGAAAGAGTTGAAGACACACTCAAACAAATAGGGGAAATGTAAATGAGTTTTGAAAATAAATAAATTTAAACTTTTTTTTTTACGACGTATTACGACTGTTTAAAACGAGGAAACCCATCACCACCAACTGTCAAAAAACGTCTACGTTTGACAAATACATCATTTGCGTTATATTTATATTTGTTTGCAAAGGAAGTAGGAAGTAAAGGAAAATAAAATCTAAGTGAACCTTTATTTGACCTAAATGTTTTGGAAAATTTTGTTTTTCTCTTTTTGACACATACATTTCTTCCTGATATATAAAGGAACTTATAAAACTTATAAAAGTGTTTCTTACTGACTAAAGATCAAGTTTTTTATAGACTTGTATTAATTGAAAACTTACAAGTATTTAATATTTTGTTTATGTATTATTTACTTATTAATTTAAAGGGTTGCTCAAGTGTGACAATATTTTTATCATTAGCCCAGTTCTTACTCTAATATCTGGTGCGGGCTAATCTGTAAATTAAGGCATGTTTGATTGTCTGTTTGATCAATTGCAAGTCAATAAAATACATTTTTTTATGTTTGTTTATGGGTGGACAATTTCCCAAACTAGTTCTGAAGTTGTTTCTGCAGTAAAACTAGAAAACCACTAAATCAGGCTTCTGTTTCAAGGTTTTTCACGCATTTTAAAACATACACATGCTGTAACTTGCACAGTTTGCACAATGGCTGCGAATGAGGGCAGTGTTGAGACCCTTCCCTATGAAAATGACAAGTCATGTTGGGTAAAATCAAATTAATATATGTACAATTGGGCTAAGTTTAAATTGTGTGGTATTTAATTTTATTCAGTATATTTATAAATATAATAATCTATGTAATGATTTTTAAAATCTACTCACAGTTCTACCAAGTAATTGGACAGATTAACTCCACAAAGTGAAGGGAAGAACATGAGTATGTGTGCCAAATTGAGATTGTTCCAAACATGTTCACTATGTTCGTTGCGTAAGCCATACTTGTTAGATATTTTAACATTTACAAGTACCACATTCCACACGTAGCTGACAATTTTGCCATACTGAAGAATAAGCTTTAAAGAATAAACCACAACCTGTGGAACTGCATTTTAAAACAAGCTTTACTGTAAACAAGTCGATGTCATAACAGAAGCGACAGCTTTTCCACAATAGTTAATACACTTCTGTTAAATCACTTCAGCCTCAGAAAGAGTTTTTTCTTTTAACCTAAAGCCTCAGCACCAGTGCGTCAACAATAGTCCTTTTTTTCTGTTAGCCTTATTTTTCCCAGACTGACTCCACCTGATCTGCAGCTTCACTCCATATATCCCCACTGGCCTACATGATAAAAGGAGGTGTGGTGCTGCCAGACGGAGCTGTTGGGTTACATTAATAAAGAGCAACAAGGAGTCTGCCACCGTGACTGCAGGTCAATGCACGCGCGCTGCTGATCAAATATACGACTGAACCTTTGATAAACACTGGATTCCTCAGCAGGCGCAGAAGCTTGGTGCAGTTTATTTCAACACTCAGCCATGATTCATACATCTCGCTGGATCTTGCGTTAACATCCAGCAGTACGAAGCACAGAAACACTCACCCTACGTTTTCCTGTTATCGTCTGAGTAATCATCCTGGGATTTCCTGAGTGTAAAAAAATACGTTATGTTTTTCTGCCGTCGGTCGGTGGGACTCAAACTGGTTGACAGAGTAACTGTAGTGTTTGGCAGCATTTCTAAACATAATTTATTTCATGTCTGTCTAGAGTGTTAGTCATCCAGTCACCCAGGTCAAACAGTTATTCTGTTTTTTTGGTGTTCTCCTCTCTGTTCCTGAGAGGAGAACACCAAAAAATGTTATAACCTTGTCATTCCTTACGTTTCTGATGTCTCTGAAAAACTCAACAAACCAAATCCCTGTCTATTTCAAACCCAGCAACTACTGGTTCATCCGAAGGACAAAATACCACACCAGAAACAGAGCAATGTGGTTTATGCTGTGCAGTGTAGTTGATGACTCTACATCAGGGAAACCAAGCAGTCACTGTACAAAGGCATGCAACAGCACAGGAGAGCCAGGTCATCAGGTCAGGTCATCAGACCAGGACTCAGTGGTTCATCTACACCCTAAGGACTAATGATGGGGGGATGGGAATGTACATGTCCTTGCCAGGGAAGACAGGTTGTTTGAAAGAGGAGTGAAAGAAGAAACCATCACTCAACAGAGTTCTCTCTCCAGGACACTCAAACCTCTTCCAGATACCAGTGGAGACAGACTCTAAGGGCCTCACGGTCACAGTTGGCCCTCTGGTGATACCAATGTCCTATTGGGCTCTAACGACTCCCCACATCCACACCTCAACTCTTGTGACCACAACAGTCCACCTTCAAATCAGATCACAAACAACTCTGTTGCGACATTGAGTGAATGTTTAACATAAAGTCTTCTGGGTAATAAAGATACAGTGTGGCGTGTGTGCTGTGTGAAACTCACTTTCTCCTTCCTCTCCACCATATGTTTCCTTCCTTGTTCCACAGCATGAAAAACCGGACACATGTGTCTGGGTGACCCAGATGAGACAGGAACTTTCACTGATAGGTGGAGCATGTTGTTTGAACTGATCTGTGTCATTATCTAAATGATGTGATGACAACAAAAGGGTTAAACCAGCAGCTTAACTAAAAGGCTACTGGTGGAGTTGAAGGGAAAATGACCTGGAGGTCTCTGACTTGGAGAGTTGGTGGAATTTTACAGAGGCAGCTCCTGTCGCTGCTTTGATCTGGACAGGAAACCAGACGCCCTCTGCAGGAAGAATTTTCTTTTTTTTTTTTAGAAGTTGAGGTAGTTGATGGTTCACACACACGTTCCCCTTGTGCTCAGGACAACTCTTTTTTTTTTTCATCCATATAACACAGCCTTTGAAAACAATGTCTGTTGAACACAGCTGAACCCTGAACATCAGAGAGTTTCACAGCTGAACTTTGGATCATGATTGTTTTTATCAGAGGCAGTGATGTTGTCAGACAACCTCATGTTTACATGTCCAAACTCTGTAGAAATCTGTCCAGGTCATGTGCTGCTTACTTCTGTAATATGACACTATGTCTATTCTGAGTCTGGCTTAGTTATTGTTGACTTACATAATGTATGATCACGCTGCCATCTCAGATTTCGACCTCTGGTGATATTCCCTTTCCAGATTCTGCCACTGTCCAATTATTGTTTACTTCCT